CCACATTTGCCCAATGAAACCGCTGTCTGTAGCCAACTACAAGTTACTAGGTCGGCGATTCTATCAGTATCCAGGAGTATGGAAACCAATGTTCCAGCCTTCTTTCCACGGCTTCACCCTTTGTTGAGCTCCTTCAATCCTGACTTCCGGGATTGGGCCAGAGGTTGATATCGTTGATGCACAGCATCGTAGCATCATCAGAAGACGAAATCGTTAACAATAGCATCAACAATGTACTCTCTTATCAAGGAAGAGCACTTTAGCTCGCTGAGCCTCTTCCAAACTCGAGGCTTGGCACTAAGATATGTCCCGTTTCGGCGTTTGGCTTGTTATTGAAACGAGGCGCGTAAGCCGCCCATTGGCCAAATTGGTTGCACACGTCTGCCAGCTGGGTAGTAGCCGGTTACTTCGGGAAATGGCTATGACCGAACCCTCCGAGAGATGCTTGGCTCGTTACCATGCTCGAGAGAAACGTGTTACCACAATTTGGCTCGATCCATTACCAACCCTTGGGTTCATCTATCTAGATTCGCTCGTTTTCACGTTTCTTGCAATCCGGTCACACGCTCCACGGAAAGAACCGCAACAGAAAGGGGCTTCAATATCTCAATCACTCTCAGCCGCATGCCCATACCTTACATGCATTGGTGGATCTTCCTATTGTGCGCTTGGTTAAAACCAAACGAAACTTCGTTTCCACTGACCACCCTCCCCCTCCCTTCCTGCATCACTGAATTCCCCCAGATTAGATTGCATGGGTAATCATGGATAGTGTGCAAGTGGAGGAACGCGGCCAATAGTCATGCTCACAGTGATCCCCCATCCCACACAGCTTTGTGTTAAAAGTTGAGGGGTTGACAAGCTAGGCAACGGTTGGGCATCCCGAGCCATTCACCCCCAATCTGGGGGATCTTATCCGTTACAGCATGTTGCTTGCTTACCCCACGAGGAATTGCATCAACACCAAAGCTGTGGGACAATGCTATGCGGTCATCGGCGTTATTGTCACGAAACAAGAGGATTGTGGCAGGAATAGGTATGAATAAGCGTTTGCTTACCTGAGAACTATGGCCGGGAAGCCTTTCTTTTTGGCCTCTTCCACAACTCGGTGGTTACTATGTATGTAAATATGTTAATGCATAAATATCATTATCATATCCCCCCAGGCAGAGGGAATGACACCAGAATCATTAGGATCACTTAGAGGGTGCTTCCAGTTGGAGGACAAGCTAAGTCTTTTTTTGGCTTCCTTTGTGTCGTCCTGAGTCGGGGGTCTCTCGGCACTTTATGATTGCTTTAAGGCAAACCACTTATCGGATAAGCATAGCTCTGGCCTATCGTTCATATCTGTGTTGAGCCGGTCAGTCAAATGCGACAGCTATGGAACCAAGCGCCCGGCTAAATTGGGGATAACCGTATATTGGCTTCAATGCTTCAAACTATCCTTATATTAAAAACCCAGGTTTACGCTTAGTCATGTTTCCTGGGGTTTGTTTTCAAGCTCCAGCGAACGCTCTGATACGCAATATACATCTTCGATAAGAGTACCTCGGGACCGAACCACTGCTCAAGAGGCCCGATATACCCCATTAAAATAGCCACCTGTGCCTCTACCCTGCCTTTCCAACCTTAATGCATGTACATTCAAGTTTGGCTGGTACTCTGAATATACATGATGCCTTCCAAAATAGATGTTATATAACTTAAGGCATCCCAAACGTTGTGAATACCTGCCCTTATTGTTTTAGTAGCCCCGTTGATCCCTTAGCCGTCGGGCAGGCTGCAGGCGCGTCAGCTTCACAAATCCAAGGGCAACCAATTGAAGAAAGCAGTTCCAAAAGCTTTCTGACATTTTCACATGCTTTTAACTCAAGGACTTGGCGTTGCATCTGTGATTCTAAGGTTCCAATTGCATTGCTCCGTGGCCCAAATCGTCGGGAAATGCCGTGCTCGAAGAGCATGATTGCGAAAAAAAAGGGACACTTCTCTTTCTATGGTGCATTCGTCCCATCAGAGGCAGCTAACCACACTAGATAGCATTATTCAAATAAGTCTGGACGTTACGGTACCAAATTGAGCCAGTAGCGGGGGGTATTGATGGTTACAAAGCGGCAGCCACACCCGTTTTACTGTAACCCCTCCGTTAACAAATGCACCTGAGCAATCAAGCTCGAAACTACAGCGACGTTGATGATTGATGTTACCCTTGCCACCGATATAAATATGATTAATTGAACCTGACAATCCGCCATCTCATAAGGATGACTACATGCATTGAGTGACGATGCTAACCTCGCAGATGGACTGTGACGGAACAAGTAACGAATGCCAAAGTCAACGCCGTGACTATCTTCTACCTCTGTTATTGAAAATGGTAAGTATTGATCTATATGATAATCTCACACTGCCAAAGAGGCTCTCTAAGACTACCTCCTTCATGTCTGAATCTGCTCTCTCATGGATACTAAGTGTTTTCAAGATTCTGTACTTTGTTTTTCACCTTCGCATATCTTAGTAGCAATCCAAAGAGAGATCTGAGTCGAATGAAGGCGTAAGACTCCATTTAGGTCTCAGAACTGAGAAACTCAAAGGGTCCTGAAAAGACCGTTACGTCAAGTAGGATATACCGGGTAACGTTCTTTTTTCCCCTCATTCAGGTATGGGTAATACCTAGATGAAGAATAGACAAGGCCTGCCGAAATTTGGGAAGTTATTGCAACTTTCAGGCTAATGGGATTGATGCGGTGAAAACCAATAGAAGCCTAATGTCTCAGCGCTTGTTAATACCTCCATAAATCAGGTGTATATCCAAACAGAACTGGTGATATCAGGCGCTTATGGTAACTCAGAAACGCATGTGCGTTGGTGAATGCAGTCTGGAGCGTCTCGGTGACGCATGCGGCATGTTGCATCGCTTCCCTGCCTGTTGTCTACTCGTCCCTGGCGTGGCTCCATGCTAACGAATAGACTTCGATGCTTCCAATTTCTCTCAATCGACAATATAGATCACTAAGAATCTAGTGCCTGTTTCCTACTTGACTGATGGCTGGTGGAATTTACAAAGGACCAGGCAAGTTGCGGAGCCTGTTGGACACGAGTGTTATGGTGGACACACCAAACCGGAACCTTGACGAACATCCGGATGGATGAGTTGAGAGTGTAGCATGTGTCGTGTAATATCTGATATGCAAACATCGGGAGAGCATGGGGATAAGAGAAGACCGTTGTTGGCTGCATGACCTAGTGGCTTGCGATAGGGAAACACCAGGGGGAACATCGGGACATCCTCATCGCATCCTGGCCAAAACGATATATCCAACCTGATTGACCGGCCAGCGAGCTTGCGTGTTCTTCCCCTGTCCCTTCCCATAAATTCTCACTGGCAAGCTGGCCAAGGGGTTCTTATTCCCGGAGCTTGGGTATAAAGAGTGAAAATCTTCTTCGAACGTTGAGACTCCTTCCTTCCTCTTCCAAATGCAGCACACAACCGCACTTTCAGACCCAACAGACTATTTTCAACTAGTTAACACCCATCACTGGCGTTTGAGGGTCGTCAGGGAACTGATGTTGTCCACAGTGTCTTTAAGTCTAACCATATAATAAGGGTTGAAGACAATGTCGGTGGGAATGGTCCATTGGAAAGGTGGTAATGACTAACAGCAGATAAGGATGACGAGCACTTGCGCTTCCCCATTACGTTACTAGTCGCTCATTGAAGCACGATCAGTCTGGTGACTAAAGGAATTATGATGTTCCACTTGTCGAACTGTGTTCATCCACATAAGCAAGAACAAGTTGCCAATATCAGACACTGAAGGACTGGGGAAAGCTTCAATAAGAGGGAGGGAAACAATGTCGTCGCAGAGATGTTGTGGTAACAACATATCGATCTGGAGAGAACAACTTGACGGCATTTCACCTCGGGCTGCCAGTTCCAAAACATCAACTGACAACGTTCCGCGAACTACGAAGTGTCAACCAGGACGACAGTTTGGCTGGATAGAACGATAGTTGGAAAGAACTATGCACGAAGAAGGTCAATGGTTGGGTTGAAGTTCGGATGTGTCAGGAGTTCCGAGTCGACAGCACGGCGGCGACCAGTTCGAAAACCTGCATCCATCATCCAACATCCCAAAAACCCAGTTGTCAACAATCTAGCAAACTCTCACTGGTTCAACGGATATTTACATGTAATTAAATGAACTTTTACAGAGCAGCAAAACATCGACGAGTGGGTATATAACACGGCATATTTGAGAAGTCAGAAGTAATACCTTGGCACAATATCTTGGCAACAACACAAACACTCGGGACTCTTGGAGCCTCCTAGGTTCTCAGTACTCGAGGTTATAGTTCCCCTTCGGTTTTGAGACGAATGTTCAAAAAGGCTGTCACAATGGGTATAAGGGATTCAGGGATTCCAAGGAAAAGCCACCACGACTGGATTATGTTGATCCGTCTTTCCCAAGTATTTGGGACTATAGCAACCTATTGATGGCTAAATTTTGACTGGAAAGTCCGGGCCCTCTCGAGTTTCTCAGACCGTCTCTGCTAACATCAGACATCATGATAACACATCCCGCAGAGCTTCAACAATTCTTCGTGAAAGAAACAACATTACTGAGCCAAAAAGTTTAAAACTGCAACCGGTGAAAGAGAGTAACAGATGTTACTCTCGCAGTCATTGGGAAGTTAGGAGAGGGTTGGGGGTTAGATGTTTCCCCTGAGGGTTAGGGTTGTTCCAGCATGCATGGATAAGCTTGCTTGTCTGAGCGAAGACTTGGCATGTCACAGGTTTCCAGCGTTTACTGTTCGGTTCACCCATCCTCCAAAGCCCTCTGCTGACGGAATATTAAAGTTCCAATACCCTTCTAATACGGACATTCTCACAAGTCTCTCCTTGTTATTGCTGCCAAAGTTCTTCGTGACGCAGAAGTTGGATCGGTGAAAATAAACTGGCGAATGCTGATCCCCGCATCGGTTGTGTTTGGATCATCACCATGAAGCCCGTCATCGCCATCCCTGCGACTCTGCTGTTGGTGTATCGCGCATACGTCAAGAACTCGCTCACGCCAGCTGGCATCATTGCTGCTGTGCTTACCGCAATTGCCCATGCAATACATCCATGGAATTTGCCATTCGTCCTCTTGGTCGTCTTCTTCCTGGCTGGGACGCGGGCGACGCGTGTAAGCAATTCCGCTTCCCTTTCGCAGTGCCCTGAAAGGATAGAGTTCATTATTCCCTGCTTTCGACGCTCTTCCTGAAAAAAAAAAATAATCATACATAGCTAACTTGATGGAATAGGTAAAAGAGCATGTCAAGACCACTCTCACCGTGAAGGCAGGCGGCTCCTCAGGCGGTGAAGGCCCGCGTACACATGTGCAGGTCTTCGCCAATTCTCTGACAGCATCTATGCTCTCAGTCCTTCACGCTTACCAGCTTCGCTCCCGACAGCAAACTCTGCTTACCGACCCAACAGGTACCGGTAGCCTTTGCTTCTCTTGGGGCGGAGATCTCCTCGTGGTTGGCATTATTGCCAACTACGCCTGTGTTGCCGCTGACACGTTCAGTTCTGAGTTGGGCATCCTCGCTCGGAGTCAGCCGCGGTTAATAACGAGCCTTACTCTGCGCAAGGTGCCACGGGGTACAAATGGGGGTGTAACTCTCGAGGGCCTGGCAGCTGGTCTGCTTGGTAGTGTCATCATCGTCACGTCCGCTATGCTCTTTCTGCCGTTTTGCACCAAAGCGACGGAAGGCAAGCTGGGAGGAGGGCCTGCATGGACTCTGGAGCAAAGAAGGCTGCTGATGGGAGGTTTGGCTCTCTGGGGATTGCTCGGAAGTTTGGTGGATAGCATCTTGGGTGGCCTGTTCCAGCGTAGTGTGAGGGATGTGAGAAGTGGAAAGATTGTGGAAGGCGAGGGCGGCGAGCGTGTCCTCATATCTGCGCCGGTGCCGGAGAAGAGGACCGATGTTGGTGCTGGGATCAAGGCTGCCCTGCTACATGGAGAGGGTGAGGCTGCGGTTGAGAAGACGGACGCAGTGGGGACGGGTCAAAGTGGTGCTGATTTAAGCCGCTATGATCCCCAAAACAAGCAGCGCAGACCGAGCTTTGGAGACGAAAGACCATCGAGAGTAGTGGAAAACGGTTGGGATCTGCTTGACAACAACGACGTCAACTTTTTGATGTCGTTCGGCATGAGCATCGGTGCCATGGCTGTAGCGTCTTGGTATTGGCAAGTGCCGCTATCGTCAGTGCTGCCAGGAGCATGGTGAGCAGGCAGGCAGTTTGCCTTGATCATCATAAGTAATTTCTGTCGTTTCTCATGGCAGTGTAAACACAGCAATTATTCCCTACCTCTATTTCTTCATGAGTCCCGAGTTACAATGCATTACGTTTTTTAATACCTACCGTAGAGATCAGCCACAGCTTCTACCGGTGGATGTAGGATGGCGGTAAGTCTCTCGGAGACTGTATGAAACCAGCGAATGGTACTCTGTTTTCTTTCAGTTCTCTTCTCCATTGGCAGCTGTAAAAATCTTAGACTATTAGTAGAAGGAGATGAGCCTATCAATTTCCCATCTCTGAACAGAGGAGAGGGTATGTACACCGGTCGCAAAATGACCCAGGTCCTGTGATCGTGGGGTTTGCACCCCACGCATCTGGGGTGGCGGGGTAACAACCCCCCAAGTCTTGGCAGCCCGCATTTCCCCTCGTGGTGCTGTTTGGCTGCAGCCCACTACAGACCTGGCATCTTGGAAACTTTGGGGAAAACGGGACGGACTGTCCAGTCCCAATCGTAAGTGAGCAGGCAAGAAAACCGTAAGTGAGTCGACTGAGTACAAGCCGGAGCTAGCTGTGGGCGCTGGCCGTTACATGGTAATAAGAACACTGCGCTGCTGGGCTGGCCTGCAGAGCAGTTGAAGCACTGAAGAACTGGAGAGATAGCTTCTCCACAGGCCATCCCCAGAACCACCGAGTACCCAGTGACGACACAATCAAAACCCACTGCAGCTCACTGAACGCGCACAAGGAGTGGCTCGGAACAACTTCTGGCCAAGGGAATCAGCAAGGGAGCCGCCAGGAGTCGCTAGAATCTGGGAGTCAAGTCAGGTGGAGAGAAGCCGGTGCTGGGCGCTGTGGGTAAGCTATCTGCGAATGTGAACGTGTGAGCCTGTGAATCTGCGGGTCTCTGGGCTGCCTGAACTGTGTGGGCAGGTCCAGGGCTCCATCGGATACCTGCTTCTAAAGTTTCGGCAGCCACTGCCACGGGTGCCGAGATTCAAGATGCCACCCCGGCCAGGCATTTGATGATGAGGAGCTCCAGGCAATCTCCTTGTTTCCATCGCAGACTCGCCAAAACAACAATAGGCAGCCTGGCGACGAGGTCTGGCACCAGGCACAGCAAAAAGGACTGTCAAGCGACTTTGAACCACATCACCAGTCAAAGGTCAAACCGGACCTACTAGTTGAGCGACCATCAGCAACCTGAACACCGCCAAAGCCACCAAAACCAGCCCCACGGCAATCCACCACTTCCCAAGAACCCCGCCATCGCTACGACCACAACCATCACCAATTACTCGTGTCCCGCAAACCCCTCGAAATCCTCAAACCCCTTCAACCACTTCAACCACTCCGCAATGGCTTCGGCCGACCGCAGCGCCGCCCCGTCTAGCGGCGACAGCGCTGGCGGCAGTCAGAATCGCCAACAATCGTCGCATCGCGCAGACCGTAGTAGCGAATCGCGACTGAGCCAGTACCAGATCATCAAGACTCTGGGCGAAGGCAGCTTCGGCAAGGTGAAGCTGGCCATTCACAAGGGAACCGGCCAGAAGGTCGCCCTCAAGATCATCTCCCGCAAGAACTTGCAGACGCGCGACATGAAGGGACGCGTTGAGCGGGAGATCGAGTACCTGCAGCTGCTGCGCCATCCGCACATCATCAAGCTGTATACCGTAATCAAGACGCCCGCCGAGATCATCATGGTTCTCGAGTTTGCCGGCGGCGAGCTCTTCGACTACATCGTTCAGCACGGCCGCATGCACGAGGATGAGGCCCGTCGCTTCTTCCAACAGATGCTATGCGCTGTCGAGTACTGCCATCGCCACAAGATCGTCCACCGCGATCTCAAGCCCGAGAATCTGCTGCTTGACGACAACCTCAATGTCAAGATTGCCGATTTCGGCCTGAGCAACATCATGACCGACGGTAACTTCTTGAAAACCAGCTGCGGCTCGCCCAACTACGCGGCTCCCGAGGTCATTAATGGCAAGTTGTACGCCGGGCCCGAGGTCGATGTGTGGAGCTGCGGTGTGATCTTGTATGTCTTGCTTGTTGGTCGCCTGCCCTTCGACCACGAGCACATCCCGACTCTATTCGCCAAAATCGCACGGGGAAGCTATATGGTTCCCACGTGGATGAGCCCCGGCGCGGCTGGCTTGATCAAGAAGATGCTCGTTGTCAACCCAGTGCAACGCGCAACCATCGACGAAATTCGCCAGGACCCGTGGTTCCTCAAGGACCTCCCCGCCTACCTTCACCCGCCCGTCGAGGAATTTTACCACACAGGCATCGACCCCAACAAAGCCATTCGACCCAGCGACATTGCCCCGCACATTTCGCCTCAGGAACAGCAAAAACTGCACGAGGAGGTGACAGAAAAGATTAGCAAAACCATGGGCTACGGCAAGCAGGATATTGAAGAGGCCCTCGAGTCGGACGAGCCATCGGCTATCAAGGATGCTTACATGATTGTGCGGGAGAACAAGCTCATGGAGCATAGCAGTAAGCATCCCAATACATATGTTTTTTTTTTCTCTTGTTTTTTTTTTTTTTCCCTTTTTCAGTTGCAGAACGATTGACATAAAACAGAACTCACTGGCCTTACTCCCGCCGATGATCCTTCTCACTCCTCCCGGTCGGTCACGAGCACAACCGCACCACGCCTTCCCTACGTCAGTAAGGTTGGCATTTTGCCCAGCAGCCTTACCGTGTATCATAAGGTTTTCATGGAACGCGAGCGGGCAAAGGCAGAAGGATTGGAACTCGACACCGCACCGATCGCGCCTGAACCGGCGCCCCAACCACGCAGCCAAGCTGAGCAGGAGGAATCGCTGCGTCGACTCAAGCCCCATTCGCGAAGCTATGCGCGTCTCGACGACGCCAGTCGCCCACAGGGTCTCACGCCGGCAAATCCGCCCAAGAAGAACAAGCCAGTACGTTGGCAGTTCGGCATCCGTAGTCGGAACGCCCCGTGGGAAGCCTTGGTGTGTATTTATAAAGCTCTGTACAAGCTCGGAGCCACATGGTTGGTGGATGAGGATTATGATTTTGTACATGGCAATAGAGATGAGGATGAGGATGATTACGACTCGGAAGAAGGCGGTTATAGCATGCGAAGACATGGCAGGCATCGCGGCTCATCGAGCGCCGACAGGGAACAGGGGTTTTACAAGTTACCTGCTGATCCCTGGAACATCAAAGTGCGCTGGACTACGGACAGTAAGTTCTAAGCCGTTTCTAAGATCTTTCCCCTGAGCCATTGCTGACGGTACTCAGAGCTCCAGAAACACTCCGTTGCCTCGGGCCTCAGCGACGGCCAGGAAGCCAACGAATTTCAGATTGTCGCGATGCGTATGGACATCCAGATCTACGAAATGGAGTCTGGAGTTTACCTTGTCGACTTCAAGGTCGACGGTTATGAGACGCCCGATGGCAAACTGCTTGAGGAGAAGGATGTTACCAGCCCGTTCCCATTCCTCGACATGGCAGCGCGGCTGATTATGCAGCTTGCAGATGCTGATTAGCATGATGGCGACTCTACCGGGGAGCATTATAGGCGTTTTGTATGGGGGTTCTTGTTTGGGTTGGTTTTATTTCACAAGCCGAACTCGATATTAAAGGGATGCTGTTTGAAGGCAGACAGGGTCCATTGAAGATGCAAACGATGATACGTGGGGAATGCCCAAGCGCTAGTCGGTTTTTCTTTAAATCAGGGAACGGATCTATGGTCTGGGGCAGGTGTCATTTGGGGAATGAACCTACGCATAGACGGAAGGTTGCGGCTTTGTCTTGTCTTGAGGCAAGCATGTATTGGATTTTTGTACACTCTTATTGATGTTAGTGATGAGTTAACCGTGGAATAAGGAGGATTATTCGCTGTGTATACTTACCTGGCTATTTACTGCTTGTTAGCGTTGCAGCCCTGGGATTCATCCCACATGTTTATCGGGCAGCAGAGAGTTTCCCATCGAAATGGAGAGAAGTTACGAGAACTACCTCCCTACTTGTGGTAATCACGGTGAATCAACAATAGCTGGGGTGAGGGGAGGGGAGGAGACAAGCGGCTACGAAGCAAAAATGAAACAGTATGAAACCAATTATTGTTGATATGTACTATTCGATTCCCTCCCAGGGAACCAGGACATATATAGTTACTAGGTAGCATAGACCAAACCCGTGCAACCCATCCAACCAAGCATATCCTCAACGAAAGAAGCTCCATATCCCCATTTGTTCATCCCCTAAGGACCAAAGGAAAGCGAGAGACACGAAAGGAACCATGATGACTAGAATAGCCAGGTTGCTAACTAGCCCAGCAAAACAGACCTGAAGTCATGGACAATCGCCGACAGCAAGAACCCCTAATATCTCCACATGTATGCGTATTAATGCAAACAAGAAAGGTATTATCAAAACGAAAGAGTGAAACCATATAATCTCGTTCATCAGTCATAACATCCTGTCCATCAGATCAAAAACAGCCTCGGTCCTTGGTATCATCCCCTATTTTTCGGGGATCACAATCACCAACAAAGCCTCCTCATCCCTACCCACTGCGTTAATGAAAGAAACCGAATTCTAATGTCGATCTGACGCTCGCCCATCCTCGACCATCGAAGTAGACCTGCCCGGCCCCCTCCCAACAAGCGGCCTCTCCTTCGCCCACTAATACGATCAAACCCTACCAAATGTACCTAGCTCTGCAGATGACAAAGGTTTCTTTTGTTTTTTTCCTCTTTTTTGTATTTTTGGATCGTGACTTGGAACTCAATAGTTTAGCCAAAACTTCAGCATCACCCTAGCGTATGGATGACTACCTGTCAACTGCAACAGCTTGACCCTGAAGCAGTGCATCCAGTTCCCACGGTTGGAGGGTACTTCTCCTCCGAGTAGCAACTTTGTTCGCAGCGGCTGCAACAACGTTGGAATGACTGCGTTTGTGCCTTTCTTTGTCCACACTCCTCTGCTGGTGGGACTGGGGCTCGGCCAGCGTCAATTCATCGACGCCATCGTCGTCGCGATAGCGCATGCTGCCAGCGCGGGCACGTCGCGTTGGGGAAGTGTGAACTGCCGGGTTGTGTCCGCAGCTACAGCTGCAGTATGCAGTGGCTCCTGTTGCGCTTGTAGTCGCAGAGTCGCTCTCGGACCTCAAGCTGCTTTTGCCGGTGGTTGTTGCCCCTGATGCGGTCTCCCCTTCAACGGCGTGGGAGCTAGCTGGTGGAGGGAAACTCTTCAGGTTGTTTGACCTAGCGGCCTTGAGCTTAGCCTTGACCCTTGCGGCATCAGCTTCGCGCTCTGATGCAGCAAGTTTCGCGGCGATGGTCTCTGTCGTCAACATAGGCGACTGTTGTGGAGGGAGGAGCGCGGCGTTCCCTGCCGCAGTCGCACATCCGGTGTTGCAACTGGACCGCGGCAGCGGCAGACGCGAGTTGACGCGTTTGAGTGTGCGCTCAGGTGACCTGGTGGGCGACGGAGCCGTATCCTCTGAAGCTGAGGCGCGAGCGTGTATCTTGGACGACCCCGACGGGGCCTGCTTCTCGCTGGCTGCGGCGCTCTTAGCAGCGGCAGGACCTGAACGAGATGACGCTGCCGAGGCTACGGATCTCGCACGCGGGGCTGACTTGGTTGAGTGATTATCACGATCCGCTTTCCTTGTGGGGGAGCGACCTCGTGAGGCGGCAGTGCTGGCGGTAGTGCTGGTCGTGGCCGATCTAGAGGGCCGTGACCGCAATACTGGTTTTGCTTCTTTCGCAGCGCTAGCGACCGTCTTGGACGTTGCCCTTGTTTCCTCCCTCTGAACTCTCCTCGTGGCGGTCGCAGTCTGCTGTGCTTGATCCGACCGTTTGTTCCGTGAAGCGACAGTTGACCTCTTAGCTCCTTCGTTGTTAGACTTGGGAGGGGGCTGCGGAGGATTAGTGTCGATAACACTGTTTGCGTTAACGGTTGTCGCAGACACCGGAAGCGGCACAGAAGCAGCCTCTTCCTCAGGAGGAACGGGTCGCAACGACAGAGCAGGCTTCTTTGGAGCAGATCCAGGAGGCTTCTCAGCCGGGTAAGGCAGCCGCGGCGATCGCAGAGGTTCCTCCTCTGGACCGTGCTGGTACTCCCACACGTTTTCCTCAGCGATGGGAGAATAGAATTCCCTAGTGCGACGGTGATGGGGATCCGCACGGCCGCCACGGTTACCAGCAGCGTAAGAGTCGCGAAGCGGGCCGATCTGAGACATCATGACAGATTGTTGAAGGATCTGAACATTCGGCTCCTCAGTGTCCAGTTCGTTGACGTCGAGATCATCCATGTCATCGTCATCATCAACCGCGGGCTCAGGCTCTTCGTCAAACACATCAGGCTCACCCTCGTGGACATCCGGCTCCGGTACGATTTCCATGGGCTCCGGCTGATGATGGTGATGGTGCTCGCAGCAGTGATGCATCCTGTTCTCGTCGGTCATTTCGCTACGCGGGGCGCTCACGGCGTCCAGGGACAGCCCCAAGCCGTGGTTTGTTTCCTCGACGTTGCTAACCTTGACGGGGCTGAGCCGCAGACCCATCTTCAGCTCTTCGACATTCACGGGCCGGCCGCTGTTTTGCATGCGTTTGCGCCATCCATCGATCAGGTGCACAGCCTCCTTCCAGCGAGTCTCCATCTTTTCCCATCCATCACGTAGCCTGTTGATCTCGTCCTCTCGCACGACAACCTCCTCAATAGGCACGAATGACGGGTTGGTCAAGATGGTACGTAGGTGCTCCAGCACTGCATCGACTTCGGCATGGAGGTCGGCCATGTTCGTAGCAAGCACCAATGCGTGGCCATTATTGCTATTCTGCTCAGGGGAAACAGTGCCATCACCGTTCATATTGTCGTCCCACCCGCTCATCTCCTTCAGCTGATCCAAAGCCCGCCGGATCATCTGTAGCAGCTCTTCGTTCTCCTCACTTAGATTGCGTGCTAGCTCTGTTAGATATGCGTTGGTCTCCGTGCGCAAGTCGTTCGCGGCAGCTGTGCCATCTCGCTGAGGTGCATAATCAGCGTCGCCCCCGACGTCTCCGACGACAGTAACTGTTGTTATCGCTGGGCTCTTGGTCGCTCCTCGAGCACGACCGGCCTCTGTAACGGCCTTCTTCAAGCTCTCAATCTGACGGTCCCGCTTGCGGACCTCGTTCGCGCAAGCAGCGCGGGTTTGGGCCACGAGCGATTTGGTGCGGGCAGCCTCCTCCTTCAAGCGGTGGATTGTTTGCTCGGCGGCCCGAAGCTGGGAGCGCATAGCAGCCTCGGCAGCTTCACTGGCACCAGCCTTACGAAGGGCTTCGGCATGCTTCTCTTGGAGACGCTGGATATCGTTGGCCTGACGGAGGGACTCAGCGCGTAGCGTACGCAGGGTAGCCGAAAGGGACTCGCGGTGCTCGGCATCGCGCTGCAGGAGAGCTAGTCAGTCGCTGAGGGAAAGCGGTGAACAGGAAGAAATGGAAGAGCACTCACATCCCGACGCAGAATCAGATCGTTGACCAGCGAGATGATACGGCCCATGGTATCGGCCACCTCGCTCTCGCTGTCGCCCGGATGGGCGAAGTCAATGCTCTGTCCATCGCGCAGCAGGCCCCGCGACAGAAGCTGGTTGTTAATGTACAGCGACGCCGTACGGAGGTTTTCTAGGTCGATCATCCTGGTAGCCGGCGCCACAACTTCATTCGTTCAGAAACGCTCTCGTCGGCCTTCGTAATTTCGTTCGCGAAACACCTCGTTCTTGTGCTGGCTGCTCCTCCCGTACGTGATAATGGTGACAACGGCAGATGGCGGTGGCAGATGTTGGGCATGCAGAAACTGCATGTGGGAAAAAAGGGGAGACCCGGTCGCACCCCAATGGTCACGGTCCAAAAAGGGAAAACAAAAATCCAATCAAAATATCGGATTTGTCTCGCCGGTTTCGCCTCGCGCGTTCGCGTCGACAACGGAATCAAGTAACGATCAAAAACCAATTGGGCTCAATGCCACTCCGTAATCAAATGCTTTGAAGAAGCGGTTCCCGAGTTTGGCTCTCATAAGCTTGGGCAAAATGCGGCGCCCAGGCCATTCCTAATCCCGCGCCTACGTCCACAGGTGCTGTTTATTTGGCGGGGCGTTGCCGTGGCAATGCGTGCAGGACGACAGGGATCGGCGCGAACGCCCACGCAGGATCTTGGCTTGCTCACGGATAACCCTAACCCAAACGTAATCGGCGACCATCCACATGCCCGTTGCAGCGGTGCCCCGTCACGCCGGCCGGTTCGTCGTACCATACGGGAGAAAAGGCCTGCATATTGCTGGCTGCTGATCCATATTTTCGGGTTTCAAAAGCCTAGCCGGATTGGTCGGCTGCGGTCCTGTGCTGTCCGGTGCAGGTGCTGCAGATTTCCTTACAGAGCAGGCAGACAAATGGATCTAGCAGACGCCCCCAAAGTACCTCATCCAAAATGAAGTCTACATATGCCGCTGTACATGTTCCATTTTGCGGCAACTTTCCTCATCACGATTCTTTGATTACCTTCCCATACGGATTTATTCTTCCCCACATTGTTTCGCAGACATCTTGGGGGGGGTTCACCCAAAGTTGGATAATTACAAACGACAACATGACCCGAACACGGGTAGTGCCCGCTCCCTGCAGCTAACCGCGGCAACATGTCTTGGGGGTATCGGGGGCAGAACAGTTGACATGTGCCGTGTGCCGAACAAACGTACAACGCCCACCAAAGCCACCATGCAGGCGCATGGATAATAGCATCGCAAATTATAGAAACGGCTGTAATTGGATACCAGAAGGTTTTTTTTTGTGACATCCCGCTTGATGTCGGTAGGGTAGGTTCTCTATGCCGCCTGCCAACGTCAGCCTCAGCCTGCATACCCACGCGCCCTTTCACCAGAAGCAAACAAGGATCCAGCCATAGCTTGACATGCGCCAAACATGGTGAAGCATCAGATATGGGTGAGAAGATTTGTCGTAAGCGCGGTTTTTGTCGACATTCAACCCCTCCATCACATGGAAACGCTACTTTCCAAGTGACAGGACTAGGGTGGTCTGATGGCCCCGCGTGCGTCATCATGGAACAGTGGAAGAGACGAAGCGAAGAAACAGGGAAGAAAACCACTCACCTGCACTCCTACAAACGCTGGCCGAGCCATCCAGCCAGCTTTGAGCTTTCCGAGACCGAGTAAAAGCGAGGCTCGGCCAGAAGGTTGCCACTGGCGGTATTTGGAGTAACTGGTGTGGCACGGAGGAAGGGAGGAGAAAGGTGGGTGACTTTTGGCTATTCTCCAAGCCAATGCTTCTCCATGCTTCATGCCTCGGGCACAAACTTCCCCTTCTTCGCACGGAGCTCCTCCAGCTTCTTGCGGTCCTCGTCGAACCGCTTGAGTAGCTCTGCTGCCTCGGCTTTCTTGCGCTCGCGCAGCTGGAACCGGTAGAAATTGGCGAGCTCCTCCTTCTTCTTGTTCTCTTTCTCCAGCATCCGGCGCTTGGCTTCCTCGGCCTCGGTACGGCTGGCCGGTGCGTTGCGTCCACCACGCGTAACCGTAACAAACCCATCCTCGTCTGGTTCGTTGCGCAGCCTCTTCGCAATTTCAGCCGCCTCCTGTTCGCGCCGCGCGAACAACGTAGAGAAAGCATCAACCGATGCCTGGAGCATGCTGGGATCTGGGAAAGAGAGCCTGTTGTGCGATTTGAGCCACACTGGACCTAGCGGAGGCATCTTGCTATCCGGTAGACCATCGCCGCCCCATACAGGATATTTCTTCGTCTTGTGCACTTTGGCTATCGCCTTCAGGACCTGCTCAACACTCTTTTCATCGGCCAGCAGCACCACCGCGGTGCTTCCACTTCTCCGGAGAGGCCGTGTCCATGTGCTCGGAAGACGCGCCGCAGCCTCCTCTTGGGCTTCTTCATCGTCACGTTTGCGTTTCTTGATATGTGCTTGGAGGAGCCGAGCAGCATGGACCGGCTGGGCGGCGTCGATGATGGACTTGCCCTCAAGCGAATGCTCCTGCTTGCTCTCGTCTTCAAAAGTGACCTTCTCGAAGCGGCCTGTGCCGACAAGCGACGTGACGAGGGCGCGCAGATGGGCTTCGGTGCTGTCGACGGGCACGTTGGTCACGAACAAGCTGCGACTATCGGTGGGCGTTGGAATCTTGGGCGCATGCCTGCGTACATAAAGGTAATGGACGACATTTTTAGGGAACGATGGCAGTGGCGGTATTGATACAGGAAGCACGGAGAATTCTCCTATTGTTGACGGAATATTTGACGCCATCTTGGTTGCTGAGGATGAAGATTGCCATCGAGAATCATGGCGCAAGATCCAGCTGCCCCGGAGTCGCGAGTTGGAAAAATTGGGCCCCACTTTAAACAACGTATTTTATCGCCTGCATATTATTGGTTTATATGCTGTAGCAACGAACCGCTGTCCGATAAGGACCCACACCTTTACAGAACAAGGCTGAGCGCGATCAGCGCGCTGTGTGGGCTTTTCTCCGCCCAGTGAAGCGACCTCCAGCCCTCCGCATCCTACGACCGGTGTTGAGGACTGCGCCAACTTGTCGTTTCTGAAAGTACACCCATTCTTATATTTAAATTACGATCCTCTTCCCCTGATTGTATCTTGTTTTTGTCATCTCCATCCTTCCCCAGTGACCAACTGCTCTTCGGTGTCTCCAACTTTACAGCGTGAACCCCTCTTCCCTACTTACTCTGGTTCTTTATTTTCTACCCGTTGTCCCCCAGATAACCGTCCATCTGTTCTGACAGCATGGAGTTCAATGCTCCTAGTTGGATTGTTGATCCAGTGATGCTCATGGCTTTCATTCGGCATGACATTTTGGTGTGGTTGGTGTTGCTCAATTTTCTTAACTGCCTGCCATCAACGATGGCTCAATGAGGATGCACCCTGCTTTTTCGATTTTTTTATATACCTCTTTGGCATCCCACCATTTTCCCATTTCCAATGTGTCAACTTGGTCGCACATCCTGCTCTAACAAGAGTGAATATGTTTCTTCTTGCGGCCTTGATCCTGGACGACATCAAACTGTCTCAGTCTCATCTTCGACTCGCAGACTTAGCTGCTTCTAGAGTTCAATGGAATGGCTGCTGATATTCCAAGTATCCTTGGTCTGGCCCATTGTATCAGGCCACGTCCCGAGTTTCCTCTTAGCTGGCAGGGTTACCGCCACTTCAGTACCAACTAAGCGCATATGTACGAAGTATGCGGTGAGCCGGCGTGTTTGCGTGAGCCATAGCAAAAAGTGAGGATAGCTACTTCCTCGGGATTTTCCGTCTGCATCTGCCAACTGAGTACGATTTACTGTTACACTTGCCTTGATGCAATTAGCTTCACAGCCTTGTTTAGATGCTCACGTTCCGATGGTTATTTCCTCGTCCTGGTCTCTCTACGTACCTCCCCAATCGCTACATCAAAAAGGCCAAGGTCCTGGATGGGGTGTCGAATCTTGATAGTTCCTTATGATGCCAACGTGTTGCTGGAGGATTGCCACCCATCTACAGGTGAAACCCTCCTATGTCCAGTGAAAAGTGGTGGAAGGTGGTTCAGCCGTCAACTGGCCTCCGTGTTCGCCACTTGAGCGGTATTGATCCAGCTCTCATGGTCATGGTCACAGTACCACTGAGTACTTAGCACACCATCCTGGTTCCTAGCCACTACCTTAACCGATGTTTCTGTTTCCAGTGATTCTCAGTGAGCAAGATAGGAGCGAAGCATGTGGAGGCCGTATGATCATCTATGTTAGGTCATCTGCCAGCCTACCAGCCAAAGTGAACACAATCCAATCAAAAACAGTTGCAACAAATCGATAACGAGGTTTGACTACGTATTAACCACGTTTCGATCGAGAAGAATTGAAGCACTATGACCTCTTCCAATTTCTCCTATACCGCGTCCTCTCTTAGCATTAAGGTTGGCATCAATCATGTGGCCTAAAGGAATTATCATCCTGCCTTCTTTAGATGCTAACTTGCCCGAAACCTCTCAGATAGTTTCAGCCGCCTCAGAACTGAAGCCAGAACCGTGTCAAATCACCAGCTGGTTGCCCTTGGCATCTAGCAGTTGGGCTCTGATCTAACCAGTCCCATCTCTGCAGTTCTTCCTTGTCACGCACAAACTAGGTTCTATATCCCAATGGTAATACAGCCAATTCCACGGCTAATGCAAGACAGCATAGACGTGGCTTTCTCATCGGCTAGCGCGGTCCCACGATGGTCAACCCGCCCTTGTTTGAGAAATACTCGACACGTTCCACAGTTCCCAACGCAACAACTAGAGGGAACACCTTGAAACTCTGGAGACATTCCAAAGCGTTCACCTTCACTAACTTCAATGATCTTGCCCTTATTGGCTATAATCACCTTGAATAGATCACCTGAGACGTAAGCTTCAAAGGCTTCAAAATTGGACAGCTGTTTCAGGCACACTGAGCGCTCGGAATTCCTTGACTGCTTCGCCCATGAGCTTTCTGGGCCCCGCCAAAATAGAGATGTGAGTTCCATGGTCTCTCACGTGTGATTCTGGATACATCGAGTCGATTGCCTGAGGCCTTGTCGTAGACTATTACAGCGTCTCCAAGCTAATCCAGATGCTCGCGGAACAGCACACCTACAGCTGACCGAACTGTGAAGTGCACTTCGAAGCTGTAATGGATGCTCTTGTAATGCTCCAAGAGCACCACAAATGCTGTAATACCAACACCACCGGCAACGAAAATATGATGGCTTACACCGCTAGCTGTAAGGGGGGCTGGGGCTGTGACTGCACCTACCTGCAGTGTGTGCCCAACTTCAGCCCGTTTGTGAAGGTATTTCGATCTATTTCGGCTGTGTTCTTGGGGTGCCATAGCCACACGAAGTCTTCGAAGGTCTCCGTCAACGATAGAATATGCCCTGGCCAGCCCGTTGCCGAATCGGACTTGACATGAGATTCAGTCTTGATCCCGAGCTCATCATCTTCCAATCTGGCGTCTCTCAGAGCCTCGAGGACCCGGCCCATGATCTTCTCCCGCTCCACAACCCCATAGATTTTCCACTTCAAAGCCTTCTTCACTGCCCCCTTCTCCCTTGCTTGCTTGCTATTTTTGGACCCTTTGTTTGTTTGGAAACACACTCCTACTTTCCGATCCCATCTTATATAGGGAGTGATCGTAAAAGTGCCAATTAACCAGCAGGGGAGGTTGCCTGGACAGTAATATGTGGCAGATGAATGGCCTTGTAAGTTTCCTCGCGGAATATTGGGTCATGCTCATCACCCTCAAGTCCCAGCTCGTTGGCGCGAACTGGCCCTCTACACATGGCTTTGTTGTTTTCTGAACCGACGACAAGCCCGTTCAGGGGCTGTATCTTTCCTGTCCGCACCTCGGGGATAATGTCGCTAACGATGGAGATGTACAAACCGGGCACATTGTCACTGTGCTCCAAATGTCATCTCCTAGCTCCTACCAAGAACATTTAAGCAAAGATGTTGTCTAGATTTTTGCTGAAATAACAAAAAGAATTTCATGCCATGATTACTGGTCTTACAGCAGCTTGTTCAAAGTTACACAAAAGATCATCGCAGCGGCACATCTGCCCCTTTTAGGAGCTGAGCCGTTTTAATGGCAACACGCGACCCTGATAATGCAGGGCATATCTTCAGCTATGAGCCAATCAAGATTTCAGTGATATGAAGTGAACATTTGCCGATATCTACAGCCCTATTATTTCCCTACCATACTATTCATGTATATGTGATATAATCGACCTTTGTTGAATGTTTTTCTTGATCTATTTCGTTCATATTACCTGTTGCAACGTGCTGTAAGATCTTGGATCCCAAGTACTACCCCGTAGGACCCCACCCTTTGGTGCTGCTGTAAAGGTTAGCGAGCAAGCGCTCTGGCGTCTCTCAGCTCAAAGACATCCACACTTAGATAATTCGGTTTGGATGGTGGCAAACAAACGTCTCACGATTCACTCTGCACACGACGCCTTACGTCAGACTGCTTACCTGGTGTCTCTTGGGCGGATTCGTTTTCTCCCATCCTATAACGCAACTTAATCTGGAAGGTCATGTCAATTTGAAGCCACGGAAACACACAGCACACACACACAATTGTTAGCTTTTATAAAGCCACGTCGGTACCATTCTGGTAAACGCTCCAAGGTTGCATCCGCCATGTGGGTGATCTTAGGCCCCTAAGGATCGCTAGGTTATCGGGCTGTTTATCAAACTTTATCGGGCACCATTGAAACAGGCACAGAACCCAGGCACTGCTGGGTATCAATTCAATTCTCGACCACTCTATCTTATGGAAGCACGCAGCACTGATCTTTTTACCTGCATTAGATAAGCACCTATATAAAAACTTGAATGCGCATAACTCGCAGTGTCCCACAGAAGTTTCAAGTTCGCAGCGGAGCGAATGGGGGGTAAACAAGGGTGAAACTGCCAGCAGATTTAAAGGTGACGCCAAGGTCTCGGGGATGGTCGCATCTCTCGGCGAAGTATGGCGCGACAAAGGCACATTTGGGACATAGGCACAAAGCTGCTTCGGGCTAATATGTACCCCCACCGTACGAGCAATTATCGCATAAAGTGCTAGCGTATGCAGTATATGTTGCTAGAGAAATGCTTGCAGCAAGCCGAATACGTGCATCACAGGTAGTACAAATGAGGGGTACAACGCCGCAACACGTCAACTACGGTTCCTGAGCATAATCTTGAAAATCCCGCGTAAAGGCGGTATACAGGGTTGAGCCCTTCTTCTCTCCTCTCCAAACTCTTACTGGCTGAATCTGAAAATACCAATGGATAGTATATATAAGCATTGTGCGTGGTATATAGGTGGTTATACCTAGTTATTTGGGTCCCGAAAGTTGGGTTTTAGTGGCAGTATAGCGCAAAGGAACCAAGGCTCGGAGTATAGCGCATCGCTCATCAATACCCAGAAAGCGAAGCACCGGAAATCTTGCAACCTGATCGGCCAATTTCTGTATCGAAAAAATTTTTCCAGCTTACACGCCACAGTAGCCCCAACAAAATTTGGAGCGCCCGGTGGCTATACCACGCCACATCGAGCAGAGCCGCATCCATGATGTACTAGTGCTCGTGCTTTGAGTACCTTCTCTTTAGGTACCGGGGCAGTGGCACCGAACAGGGTACTCGGCAGGTATACAGCACGTAACGGAGGTACAATAGTGCTACAAAAGCCTATAAAATGCCCCAACGTCAGCTTGAGCTTCGTTTCTCCTCTCAAACCACTTTACCCGCAAGAAATAGCCCAAACCGTTCGTTTTGGCCACTCTGATCACCAGAGCTTGAACTCCCCACACCACGATTGCATTCTCCTCTATCCAAGGTAATTTGGGAAGCAGACGAGTAACATCCTTTCTCGAGAGAAGTGATAACGGACATCCTCATTACACTGTTACTCGCAACGGTAATTAGGTAACGTTTGTGGAATTTGCGGTGTACAACTATGGAATCATCAATGCGATCTTCCGACTGCGGAGATACCGATCATTTGCACCGTTGCCCGTCCCTGCGTGATAGCGCAGAGCCTCATGCAGAATACTGTATTGCAACACAGCCCACAACAACAGCACCACGCCCATATGGACTTGAAATTGAGGGCGGGGTCCGGTCACCCTCTCACTATCCAGAAGTGCAGTCTTCCACCTTGTGACTAGTTTCAATTAACATCCTCCGGGCAGCTCGATCAGATACTTGGCCCTGCATTGCCTAGCCGCATGCATCCCTGGTCCTGGTTCCAGAATGTGTTCCGGCGTTTGAAGAAACCATACATTCGTATTGGAGTGGCGTTTCAGGTGATGAGGCTCTTGACCCAAGTTGCTAGCCCTCATATGTTTCTTTAAGGCCATGAGCTGCTGACCTCGAATGTGTATATAGAGATGCAGTATCCCTTTACTTTGTTCAGTCCTGTTCCCCTTGACGTCAAAGTGCGAAACAGCACTTCCTTGTCTCTGATCGCCTACCTAAAAATACTGGACCACATGGACACTTCTTCCCGCATCTCTCTCACGTCCCCTTTCCAACTCCCTCCCTTTTTCTCGGCTCATCTTGCTCAATTGTCAGACTCCAACGTCTTCAAGACCTCCATGGTCCTGGCTCTAACAATCACCACGGATTCTGCCGTCCAATAGCTTCAGAATCTTCAACGTTCTATCTGTGTAATCCTCATGGCCTTATTCAAACTGCCATATGAACTCATTTTCTATGTGGTCCAACATCTTGACCTTGCGGACATCTGGAGCCTCAGTTTATCATGTAAAAGCTTCCTCTTTTTGATCTACGAACCAAGCATTGCAAAACGGCTGCTTGAGGTACGTCATTCTTCCAGGTTGCCTTACTATTGAGGGGAAAAAAAAAAAAATTAGTCCAGCTGACGCTTTATCTGCTCAGACCAAGGCCCCTCATACCCGCGAGGCTCGTGATGCACAACTAACGCATCAATACCCTCGTGAGCTTCGACGATTAATCAAGCGGAGGGAGGCGACTTCATCTGTTTCGCCATACCTTGTGGCAATCGTCGGTTATGCAGAGCAATGGATGTATGAAGATGGTCTTCTGTTTTATCATCAGGGCCACAAGCTTCGCATCCTCGATCTTCATCGATCAGCTATCCATGAGGTTGCTGTTGACATCACCGTGCTTCTCAGGAGTGCTATTCAAGACTCGAAGTCTTGGTCGAAGTATCAGTTCAAACTTTTGCATTATTCACATGAGATCATCTCTTGTCTGTTTATTCAACAACCTGCCGAAACCTGCACCCCAGAAAGTGTTCTGGTGGCCTTCAATCCATGGAAAGGACAGATTCATACAGCAAAATCACTCGAGTCCACAACTAAGCTGTTTGTGAGGAACAATCGAGATTTCCTTTACTATGGGACAAGGTCAGAAAGGAGCCCAGTGGGAGATTATCTCTGGGTCATACGAGGGTTTGACTTGGCCTTGGGCAAGTGGCTGGAAGAAGCGCTCGTTATCCCCAAGATTATGGGTGCCGATTTGGGCATGGACGTCTGGTTCGGTATCCTGGATGGATACTTTTATGGTATCTCTTCCTATTCAAGTCCTGGTTCTCCTAAGCCCGACTTTGGCTCCTACTACACATGTGTAAGGTTTCCTTTATCTCATGATGGGTTATCGCACCTTGAGACAGCACCAAAGCGTCGATGTTGGAGAAGGGACGAAAAAGAAGGGCCTATAGACAACAGATGGAACTTTCTCACATTGTTCCAGGACGAGGCCACTGGGCAACTGAAAGCGTTAGAGGTCAGGAGAGAATGGCTATGGGGGCAACCCCATTGTCGTCGGATTGCTTACACTAGCGTCATCGACTTTGACGCTGCGAACACACTGGATGAGTCTGACGAACCTCAAGCGGAACATGACATTACAGCCGACTCACCAGAGCACTCCTACACAGAGCTCTACGACCCGGATCCGGGGCAGCTAGGGACTGGTTCACTCTTATTGCCGAAAAGAGATCCCCATCAGGTCCACCCCGACGCAGACGATTCAACGTTTGGGATAATACTACGTTCTTGTCCTGTCAGAGCATACCATCCATCTTGTCAGACATATATTGATGTTTTGGACACCTCTGAAATGCGTTCAGTAGCCGATTCCCCAAGAATTCGCCTACGAGGATGCTCGCGACGCTTACGGAAACCCAATGAAATTGAGCAAACAAAACTCACATCGACAATACTTCATTCGGACACACAAAACGATACATTCTGGAAACCATTTGACGATATTTACAAGCAAGAAAGCCACTTCTGGCCTCCTGAACCTAACAAAACCGTTTGTGATCCAGCGCTCGACACACTTTACGCCATTCTTAATCCACCCGGTTCTGGATATAAAATGTACGGAGCATGGGATGACCGTTCTATCATCTACGCGACAGGAAAAGAGAACGATGTTCAGTTGCCATTAGTATTTGTCTCATTCGATCCAAAGATCTACCTCCCTGGAACCGCACTATATCCTGGAAACATCTCAGGCATTGGCATTGGCTCTTCAGCTCCTTCAACTCCCAGGGGCCCTGACAAAGGGAAAAACAATTACCACCTGGAAGATGGCACTATCAAAAAGCACACAGATCTCACACCACGAACATTTCCGAAGGTTACATCCTCGCCATGCAAAGTTCCTTGGGTATCATTTGTTCCAGCTAGCTACTTGGGGATTAGTCGCGGCTATCACTTTGCAGCGCTGTCACGAACTGAATGCAAAGCCCAACAGCAGAGACCCAACTTGTATCACGGATAGATGATAGTTTCCCTTAACTGACCAATAACACTGGTACACGGGTTCGAACAGATCTCGACCAACCGGAGGGGCATAGGCGTTGCATGGGATCACAAGCGGGCCTTGCTTTGATACCTGACCATGTTTTACCTTCACTCCCGAGCCTTTTCGGGTCAATGAGAAAACATTGGCAGGCTGAGTCTAGACCAACCAGCTCAGGGAGAACAGTGGCAACGAAAAAAAATGCAGAATTCTCGAACCAAAAATCCAACTTGCAGTTAGGCATCGTTTCCAAGACAGCTATGCTCTAGGGAGAAAACACAATTCAATCACCTTCTTAAACGGGTTTCTCCGCTATACCATGCAGAGTGATCTCGTCACAGGGTGTTCCGAAGATGTAGTCAGGCAAGCTCACCATACATTTACGACATGTGTCCCACGATTGCACACACTCGGGAACTAGGTACCTTTTCAAATCCCTGCATGTTTATCATAATGCGTACAATAGACGAATCAAGAAAAAAAAATCTGGCGATGCCTAAGAATTGGCTGAGCCTCAGACCGGGTCGAAGCATTTTAGCTTTGTGAAATGTTCATTTCAAGGCGTCGCTAGAATCTAGACTCTACGATAACCAGTAGTTTGAGTGGGAAGAGCAAATCACAACTGCTCAGTTTCTCGGGCCTGTTTTAAGACCATCCAAACTGGACCAGAGGCTGACCTGCAGCCAACCCTAGAGCTCTACCTGGCAATCTTCAAGAGACGCCTTACGGTCTGCCTTGCCTGCGAAAGCCAAGACTCGGCGTGAGACCCTAACTGCAAGAGGACACTTGAACCATACTGTAGGAAGATAAAGTCTCAGAGAATTCGAACGAATAGGAATCCAGGAGAGAAAACCGTTGACACCCACTTTCCTCCCTGGCTTCCTGAAACCCCCCACACGATCCTCTGACAGGTTAGTCAGATATTGCCAGGAAAATACCGATTATGCGGCTCTTGTCACGCCGGCTGATGCAACTTCATCAGGTCGGCCTGCAAGATGTGTTGCAGATGAAAAGAGCCTTAACTGAAGGCCCCGCGTCGCATAGAAGCCCTCCACGAGGGTGAAAGAACTTCCATACAACCTCACGCACAGCGACAGTAATGGAAGACTTCCCCGTTCTGCTGTGGCTTTACTACCGGTATCGATGCCTAAGTGCGGCTCAGAATGCGGGCCGCAAATGCGAGACGAAAATGCGGGGTGTTTGTTGCCAGAGCTTCTGGCCTAATTTCTTATTTTGCCCGACATATTAATTTTGCCCGGCGTGTAAGAGAAGAAATCCTACGCGGTTTTTTCGACATTAAGGTTCTTGCGAACTGCTAGTTGGCGCGCTTGCCGCGATCTTCACGAAAGGTATCTTCTACTGACCTTACTTCCCCTCCGAGATAGCATCGTGCGACGAAGACCTCAACCAGAGACAGAGAGATACTCAGAGGTACAATACGTGTCTATTATTACAGATCGCAAGGGAGGTAGGGAGCTAACGCTGTGGGTTGCTGGTGTAGTGCATCCCGGCCTGGAAGACTAGACGTTGCGGTTTATTCCATCAGTTCTCCCTTTTTTTTGTGCTTTTGTCGCCATCTGCTTGCTTCCTTGATTGCCCATTATGTGGGCATACCAATGTCATGTTCTACCTGCCAGCCTGACCACCTGCCACCTGAAATATCATGTAATCATTTGCCGTATCACACTCCATCGCCCTGCCTTTTCCCCAAGAAAAGCCGAGTGATGTGTGATGTGTCCCAAACCGGGTCCCAGATATAAACTCCGCCGAATATCAAGATCAAAGGTCAAAAGAAATCACAGAAATCCATGTCTCATGGCCCACCAATCAATAATTTTCCTTCTCCTGACTTGTTTCTTTCAATAAGCTTTAATGCTGAGTCCACTCAATCGTGTTCAGATCGACACCCTCTTGCACCAGCTCCCACAGGGGGCTCAGCTCGCGCAGGAAGCCGACACGATCCTGGACAGCTTTAACGACGTAATCGATCTCAGCTTCTGTGGTGAAGCGACCGATACCGAAACGGATACTGGAGTGAGCATTCTCATCACTGTTACCCAGTGCACGAAGCACGTAACTGGGCTCCAGTGATGCCGATGTGCAGGCGCTACCCGAAGAGAGCGCGACGTCGTTGAGAGCCATCAGGAGTGACTCGCCCTCGACGTAAGCAAAAGACACATTGACACAACCCGGGTAGCCGTTCTCGGGATCACCGTTTTGGTGGGTGCACTCGATAGAAAGTACTCCCTTGAGGAGACGCTCCGAGAGTCGCTTGACGTGCTTGAGGTCATACTGCGGAGTTCGAAGGATTAGCGACGTTTCAGAGGTAAGTAACCGCGAAAGGAGAAAGTAAGTAGACCCATAAACCAAAGAAAAAAAACTCAGAGAAGGTGCTCTAATTCAACATAACAATCCTTGTCAGGGGACTTCAGAAAGCCATGCATGTATTGTAAAGCAGCTCATCATCGAGGGCGGTGACCACTTGAAAGCAACAAGCAACGCTGGTAAAAACGTTAGGGCAAACGGGGGCGAGAACGTACCTCAAGCTCCTCTTTGGCGATGCGACACGCCTCTCCAAAGCCGACGACAAGGGCAGGAGCCAGTGTACCACTGCGCAAACCACGCTCCTGCCCACCGCCGCTGATGATGGGCTCGATCCTGACCCTTGGGCGGCGGCGCACGTAGCAAGCACCGATGCCCTTAGGTCCATAAATCTTGTGGGAGGAAATAGACATGAGATCGATGTTCATGGCGTTGACGTCGATCGGAATTTTGCCGACGGCCTGAGCACCATCGGTGTGGAAGAACACCTTCTTCTCGCGGCAAATCTTGCCAATCTCTGCAATGGGCTGGATGACGCCGATTTCATTGTTCACAGCCATAATACTGACCAGGGCAGTATCAGGACGGATGGCATCCCTGAGTTCGTCCAAATTGATGAGGCCCTTATTGTTAACAGGTAGATAAGTGACCTCGTAGCCCTCATCCTGGAGATGCCGGCAGCTATCAAGCACACACTTATGCTCTGTCTGGCTGGTGATGATGTGCCTCTTCTTGCCAGTGCGGCCAAAGAAGCGGGCGACACCTTTGATGCTCATATTGTTACTCTCGGTAGCACCGCTGGTAAAGATGATTTCCTTGGGATCGGCGCCGATCAAGGCAGCGATGTGCTCACGGGCCTTCTCAACAGCACGCTCGGTCTCCCAGCCGTAGGCGTGTGTCCGCGAGTGGGGGTTACCGAAGATGCCGACATAGTAGGGCAGCATGGCGTCCAACACCCGCGGGTCGACGGGAGTTGTAGCTTGCATATCGAGGTAGATGGGCCGCTGGCCTTCGCCCATCCGGGTAGCACCCTTCAGGATGTCTGGAGAGGAGGAGGTCAGAAACAAGCATGTCCAATATCAATCGTGAAGTCGGCCGAGGGTAAACTCCTACCAGCCATCGGGCTGACGTGGGTCGTCGAGCCATTCTGCGCCTCGAACGACGGGACTGACTTCTCTGCCTTCTCAAGCTCCTGGCTGTCTAACCTGACAGCTGCCTCGGTCTGAGCCTGAGCATTGTCGGCTTTTGTGTCGGTTACATAGCTCCTGGATGCGCGGCGGGAGGGGTGCGCATGGGTTGCCGGAGCGATCGCCGCACGGCGCGAAAGAAGAGTCGCGGCGCGGCGAGGTGCAGCAGCGAACAGAGACGACGTCGACGACGATGATCTGGTAGCAAGACGCGATGCCTGCCGCAACACAGACGGGGCGAGATTAGCCATGATAGGCGGGTGGGATGGGAGAGGAGTCGAGGAGGAAAAGTTTCATTGCTTTCAGTGCGATTGCGGGACCGAGCTGTTTCTTGCTTAGGTTTTGTCCTCTTTTCCGTCGCTGGGTCGCTTTGCTCCACGGAAAGCGGCGATTCTATCACTTTGACTGGTCCGTCCGAGCCAATGACCGAACAGCCTGGTGGGGTCGAACCCTTTGATTGGCTAAGCTGGTCTTGGCTCCGCGCCTTGTGGGATGACGCAGCCATTTCTTCCTTTCTGGCTGCTGCGCTTCTGGAAATCCGGATCGCGATTTTGGTGGCAGTTGCCAACTCTCCCTCTCCCTGCCCGTGGCACAGCAGTACTGTAAGAACATACAAAGCACATACGAATTACGCCCATTGCACATGTGCTGGTCACACCCCTACGGATCACAACAGCCCCTCAGGAGCGATTGATCGTTGTCCATTACAATTGAAGACAAGACAGGTATTGGCAGCCCTGTAACGTCAGAGCCGCATATTTGTCACATTCCGTCTATCCCAGCAGCTTTTCTCTGGCTTTCCCACCGGGCATCTCAACTGCTGAAAGCCTCCATCGAGCGTCCCCACGTCCCTAGAGGAGCTTCGAAGCCGTTGAACCCTGGTCTTGGCACTGGAGGGTTTCTTGACCGTGGGTTGACCTCTGGCGACCGCACCGTATCCGCAAAGTGGGCGCCAGCGCCACCTTTCATAAGCCAAGCCTGAGCTGAGCAAAGCCGAGCCCAGCTCCGCCCCGAACGCATCGTCATCGCCTCCTGGGAGAGGGGCATCCATGGATCAGGCGCATCCTCTCTACAAATCCTCCCAACATACCTCTGCGCTCCATACCAGACGATCCTCGCTGACGCCCCGCCAGCGCTACCTTGACACCGGATTTACCACATCCCTTTTTCCGGCCTCCTCCAGTTTCCCTCCTCTCAATCGCCTGCTATTCTTTGAAAAAAAGTTTCTTTACCGCATAATCAGCATTTGACACCCCCGAGTCTCCATATTTCCAGATGAGCTTCCGAGGCTTTCAAAAGGGGCTCGCCCGAGTCAGTTGCTGCCCCGCTCCCCGACTTCGCAGTTGCGAAGCCTCAGGAACGACGGGAACCAACTGAGACTAACTTTAGGCCCTTTGGCGTCCAGGCACCGCAACAAATCAAAGCAAAGCTAAATATCGGCGACAATACCAAAGACGCTGTCTACATCGATGCAGAACGCCGATTCCAGGATTTGGAGCGTGAGACGAAGCGCCTGCACGATGAAAGCAAGAAGTACTTCGAGGCTATCAACAGCATGTTGCAGCACCAGATCGAGTTTGCCAAGGCCATGACCGAGATCTACAAGCCCATTAGTGGTCGCATGTCGGATCCCGAGACTCTCAAGGTAGACGGCAACCCGGACGGTATCCGTGCCTGCGAGGAGTATGAGGCCGTAGTCAAGGATCTGCAGGAGACGTTGCAACCGGAACTTGAGATGATCGAAACTAGGGTTATTCGCCCAGCGACTGAACTACTCGATGTCATTAAGGTAATTCGAAAGACTGCGACCAAGCGCGAACACAAGAAACTGGACTATGACCGCCACCGCAATGCCCTCAAGAAGCTGCAGGAAAAGAAGGACAAGTCGTCCAAGGATGAGAAGGCGATGTGGAAGGTCGAAAACGATTTGGAGCTGGCTACGCAGGAGTACAATTACTACAACGACTTGCTCAAGGCGGAGCTGCCCAAGTTGTTCGAGTTGGAGCGCGAGTTCATCCAGCCTCTCTTCCAGTCTTTCTACTACATGCAGCTCAACATCTTCTACACGCTACATGAACGCATGCAGCGCGTCGACATTGGTTACTTCGACTTGACACTCGACGTTGAGGAAGCCTTTATCCAGAAACGCGGTGATATCCAGGAGCGCGCAGAAGCCCTAACTATCACCCGTTTCCGAACCACTGGCCGGCTGCGCGAGCCTAAGTACCAGCGCCCGGGTGCTGGCGCAATTGAAGGCTCCAAGCCTGCTGGTTTGCTCACAGCCGGCACGTCATCAGCGCAAACTTTGTCCACCTCTCCAACAGCGACGTCTCCTGCGACGGCCACCGCTACCACTTCCACGACCACTTCTGCATCCTCGAAATTCCCTGCCTACAACCCTTCAACACGCCCAAGCTGGCAGCAACAATCCTCCGACTCTGTTGACAGTCCCCCACCTCCGTATTCCTCTCCGGGCACCACTCCTGGCATCGCAAAGCCTCTGTCGACAACAGCCTCATCCCTTGCGGCTGCGGCTGCAGCCAAGTCCAAGCCTAAGCCGCCACCGCCGCCAAAGCCTAAGCCGGCACGGTTGGCGGCACCAAAGGTTGAGACGGTGACGGCATTGTACGATTTCTCGGCTCAGGCTGAAGGAGACCTGAGCTTCCGAGCGGGCGATGTGATCGAGGTGGTGCAGCGGACACAAAATGAGAATGAATGGTGGACGGGGCGGCTGAATGGAGTGGTTGGGCAGTTTCCTGGTAAGTTTGCATCCTATGAACCGGGTCAAAAAAATGAATAATTAAATGACTGACTTTGGTGAAGGCAACTATGTCAGGTTGAATCAATAGTATCGACTCTCGGTCAACTGCCCACCATAAATACAGGTCTCAAAGGTAGTAGTAGCATCGTTTCGGCATATTCGATGCTTTCGATAGAGTAGGGAATGGAGAGATTGTACTTGTGACCTAATGTTTGCTTGTTTGCTTTTGTTTTTTTTTTTTTTTGTTGCACACAGGAACGATTGGCAGGGAAACCAGTCCAGTCTGGCCTGGCGATGGCGTTTGCGGTTTTGCATCAGGCATTTGCACTGACACGGTTTGTAGAACATCTGTAATACTGTTTACCCAGTTGTTGCATTTGTGAACTGGAATAAGAGCTATCATCACCCTCTTCACCTGAGCTCCCTGGTAGTTTGGGGTGACAACAAAAGAGGCATAATACAAGAAATAAAAACGATTAAAGTTCTTGTGAATTCTAGAGATCTCAAAATACTGCTGACTCTCTCTCAAAGCTTCTGGATGTTCTTGGTCAAATTTTATCTTTCCAAATACACGTCATCTTAATCCAAGCCAGGATGTTCCCACTCTGACCTCTGGTTTCAAAATATTGGAAAAACGCCCCTGAAGCCCGAACCGCTTTACACATGATGTCATGGTTCATCCGGGACCGATGACATCAATGACGAGGGGAACCACCCGCCGTGGGCGAGATTCTGTACCAAGCTGCCCGGGGAAGCAGTGGTGTAGTTGTAGAAACAGGGTTTTTGAGGCCGTTCAAGAAATTTTAAATAGGACCTCTAGAATTAATGCTGAAGTCCCTCGACTGATTGACTTTGGTTACACCTACAGCTGTAACCCCTATTATTTCTATTCGAAGAAAACATGTCAGAAAACACAGGCGATACTCCCTCCACTCTCAAAGCCTGCATGGATGCTGCCACGGGAGCAGTTCAACACGCAATAGGCCATATGACGGGGGATTCTTCAAAGGAGGTCGGTAGTCCCTGATGTCCACCAGCGCAGAAGATGTCACTAACTTGATCATCAGGAACATGGCAAGGAGAAGCAGCGTATGGCACGTTCCGAATACGAGGAGTCTCATGCAGTAACACGGCTTCGCGGAACAACCTCCTCCTCTACCGGCGCCATTGCAGAGGATCACCCAGACCGCCCCGAAGGGTCGTGGAAACAGACTGCCGGGACGGCGAAGCAATTTATCGGCAATCTCGTGGGTGATGAGGTGCGTAAATCCAGAAGCTGGAAACCCTTTAGGGTAGAACATCATGGGGACTAACGCTCAGAGCTCTTGAAAAACTTAGAACTTGAAGCAAGCTGGCCGGGAGCAAGACATGTCCGGACGAGCACAGGAGACCCGTGGCCAAATCCGTGACTTCGCCTCTGGTTTAGGAGACCGTGTTATCGGGGCTTTAGGCAGCGCAGCCGCAGACTTGACGGGTAACAAGGAGAAGCAAGCCAAGTTCAAGGAGAGACACGATGTCGGGAAAACCAGGGAGCGCGGAGCAGAGGTTGGACTGCAGAAGAAGTTTGAGGACGGAAAGCAGGTGACGGAATCTTAACTGTTATTCAGAGCAACCGTTCCAAGCGGGCCGTGGCCCATGAGCCACTTTTGCTGTCTATCAAGCTCTCAATGTTTATAAACCTCTTAAAAGATGCATGGAGCGATCCTTTGAAGTTCCAATGGAAAGAACTCGCTGTACTGCATCATGCTTAATATCATGTGCATTCCACAACCCGGGCTTAACTGGGGCTTGGTGTCTAAGCCTCGCTGTTGAGGATCCAGCTGAGCGGCCCAACCCGTACCAGATATCTCAGGCATCAAGCAACCCCCAGTCAGCAGCCATACATACACAGAGCGTCTACCTAAGTACCTCGGCAGGTTTGGTACTGTAAAATACTTGAACGCGGCGCTTATGTAGGTTTACATTTATGATAACAGTTTCAAATGGCTGTCAATGAACTGTTTTTGTCAGAACTGAATGGTTGAAGGTATTGTAGATATGCACCCTGGAGCCCATCCACAGCGATGGAGAGGACGGATTGTTGGCATCTCAACCTTGAAAGGTGGGGCGGAACACTCGCCGCTCTTATTGGTCTCCCTAACTAACAGGGGGTTACTGGCATCAGCCACACTTTCAAATTTAGGGAAGGCTGTGATGCCAACCATTCATGTCAACAAGAGCCAACGGCAATGAAGCTTCAGCAGGGTGGACACTATGTACCTAGGCAGCAAAATTTTTTTCCATAAACTTCTTCAATCTACCTAATCCCTCGTGAAACAATCATCTCGCTGCCTTAAGGCACCAATATCCGCCATCTCCTGAGTTTCTAATATTATGTGTTTCTTCTATAAGCAAAACTTGTGCGGAAAGTCATGAATAGCACAACTTGACTAACCGTTTGACCACAGCGTCGTACCTTGGCCCCTTTAACATTTTCACCCGCAAGCTGCAGGTGCCAGCCAAACCTAGTATGGCACTCGAAGCTTGTGTCTCCTACGTCGAAGATCTACTCAAACTTTCAAGGTTCTAGAACATGCAGGGCACACGTGACTGATTGCCGAGCCATCGAAACTCTCAATAGACGTCTCGCTAACCATGCCGGCGACCATTCTTAACAGTATGAGCCTGTTGATTCCGATCCTTCGTCGGGCGATAACGGTAGTTGCCAGCCAACGTTACATGTACGACTGTCTCATGACTGGACTCTACCCACCATCATCGCCGATCCTCCGGTTGAAACCCCCCACTCACCGGAGCTACCGATAGGAGACGCGGGCGCGCCACGTCCCCGCATCGGGTCTGTGACACCATAGTAACGAAGCCCGAGCCGACGCCTGGGCTCCGGGTGGCATCTCTTGCATAACCAGATGTCTGGACTGCTGTCTCAGCCTTGCTCCCCGATGACTTTTCGGTCAAGTCTTCATAGAGACTGCCGGTTTCACCTTGCTCACTATGTCGGCCTCGTGCTACGCCTTACCAGCAATGTTGAAAGGAAAGGAATGCCTGAGACTATAGCCCCCGATATCATCCAATTGAACATAGCACCTAGCCAGGATGCCGGTCAACTCTGGCTGCTGGCTGCTGGCTAATACTGGTTGGGCAGTCAAGCCTTCCCTCTCCTGCTACTCCAGCCCTGTGCCGCATGGAAGGAGTCAGGGATTCTACTCACTGGAGCTGCCCAATGGGACATACATGGTTCTCCCCCACAAGGATGGAGACTAGTCAGGACATTTCATGATGCAATTGCCAAATCTGGGATGTTTTTTGACACCTGTAGTACAGACTCCGTCCTCATTTCTCCCCCGTAACGGCGTAGGCAGACCTGGGTTGCAGTCCACTACAATGTCTGCGCCTCATGGAGTTGTCCTAAACTTCGATCCACGACTCTTATCACAATCGTTCCCATCGACCCAGTAAACCTCGTGAAGTATAAAATCATCATGCCCTGTTGGTGGATAGCCCTCTTGTGAGCAACTCAGACAGACCTCAAGACTACCAAGCATCTCCAGGTAGCATCAGCCACCCTATTCCTCTAAAACAGGATTTTTTTAGCACATAAACTTCGATTCCTCGGAGAAGACAAACTCTTTCGTCATGCTTAGGATCGCTGTTGTCGGAGCCGGAGGGTTCGCGCAGATTTTGGTCCAGCAGCTCTGTCAGACCGATCATGCCGTGTTAGTCTTAACCAGGCAAAGCCACCCTGAAATCGAACAATACTGTCCAGGTGCCCAAGTCGCCATCGTCGACTACGACAACCTTGATTGTTTGCGGTATACCCTCAGGGGTATCGACTTGGTAATTTCGACCATCTCAGGCAGTGAACAGATCAACCTAATTGATGCAGCGCGCAAAGCTCGGGTCCGCGTATTCGTTCCCTCTGAGTTTGAGGGAGATCTAAGCCACAGGCCAGCTCAAGATCCCCTCGATCGCGGTTCTCAATCCGCGCTGGAACTTCTGGAGCAATGGTCGCAATCCAAGTCCTACAAGATGAACTACACAATCTTTTCGTGCGGCTTGTTCATGGAGCGTTTCGCCCCTGGAGGATTACAAGCATACCAAATTGGTGGGGGTTGTGGTATCCAAACCCCTGACGACTATCTCGTCAATGTCGAGAGCTGCCAAGCGGAAGTTATCCTATACGGCGCAAGTGGTCGCTCCGCTCATGTCTCCCTCACTTCGGTCTACGACGTTGCTCAGTTTGTTGTCGCCGCCATAGAGTTAGGTATCGATTCGTGGCCAAAGGAGTTTCGCATGAGGGGAGACTCAATGACAGTTCAGGATCTGGTCCAAACTTGTGCTGCGGTTCGCGGCATGCCCTTCGGTGTGATTACCCGCACATACGATGAAGTTGTCGCTCAGGCAGAGTTGTGCCGTACAGAGGGTGACCTTCTTCGGTGGTTGTACTATCAGCGTCTTCTCCAAACCGCTGATGGACGCTATTACGTCCGCAATACCAACCTCATGGATGCTATCAGTCGCGCTGGGATCAAGTTCCAGCCTCTCAAGTTCAAGACTTGGCTTGAACAAGTCTGGAAGGGAGCAACGTAATCCTGCAGCATTTGTTATGGAATATTTGAGTATGGAGGAAGTGGTGGTGTAAAGGTAAAAAAAAGATAGACATTAAGGACTTAGGTATTCATCAGTATCACGGCATCATTGGTATTGCATTGTTTGGAAGGGGTGTCAGTTTCACTGTTGCCCAATTATATTACTCTTGGATGTTCTAATTTCTTGAACATTTAGCATTTATAGGTATTTCACAGCCAAAAGAACTTCTTAGGGTACACAACATACTGTCTTCAAACATATCGTTTTGTTTGGGGGGGGGGGGAAGGCACCATGTAAGACTCAAGCGCCATGTTTATGTTGAGAGAATGACAGTGAACATCATGTAATGACGAATACTAACACGCGGTTACCATAGCTACATGCTAGATCATAAATCTCTGAGCCATGTGCAAACTTTGCCGTGTCATGCGCTTGATTAATGATTATCCAGGACGATTTCAATCTGCAATCCACCAGTCTTTCTAAGCACAATGCCCTGCATATCAATGATCACTCAAGTTCAAGATGCTACCGACTCCACATTATCTTACCAAGTACCAGTTGGTGTTACAACCTTACTGCTTGCCGTTACATAACTGCCATACTTTGTGTAACTCAGAGATCTTCCTGTAAGTCTTTGTGTGACTGAAACTGAGCAACAGAAGCTGTTAAAAAGATGAAACACTTCGTGGGTTTTGTGTGGGTGGTACTTCATCTCGTGTTAAGCTGCAAGATTGTTACTTCATTAGGCATATGACAGTAATTCATTGGTGCATACCCGGCGTCTTAGGAAAGAAAACTTTGGCCGAATCGAGCTATTGTTGGCAAATGGCATTCAAGGAAATTGGCCGAATCTAACGTCTGGAATTCTGCGTCTGCTTTTCCACACATGAACAATTGGGATGCATTCCCGATCCTTATGTCCATAATCTTAGCTCGATTATGAGAGCAGCGAAAGGGATTAGCTATTTGCATATCCATGATCCGGGTGGGATTCCAGGCTATCAAGGGTTGGTACATGCCACGTGGGGGCGCAGCAGAGACCGCGAATTAAAGTTGAATGTTAAACAGCCTTCCGTCCTAACAAACTCCTGATGCAACGTCGACTATTGTAGCAGGATGTTCTAGAAACTTGGGACATGCAGGAAATCCAACAATCGGCGTTGCTTCCTGATCCGTATCGCTGAGCACAAGACTGAACTCTGGGTCTCCAAAAAGTTGGGCAGGTTGACATCGGGTAAATGGGGAAGTTGAATGGCACGTGTGCCGCAGAAAACATGGATGTTTCTCTATGCCATATTGATGTATCTTGTTGACTATTTGCCTTGCTGCCCTGCAGGAACCGCATACAGTCAGATATCTGTATTTTGTGCTGTTTTTGTGTTTGGTGGCTAGTCTTAGCAGCATAGGATTCCAAGCATCACAGCATTCAGAACTACCACTGTGTTTTTGGATTATTTTTCGGAAGTTCCTTGCACTCATGTTAAATCTTTCACTGGTTGTGGTATGCAGCCCTCTTGCTTGGGGAACTTTACAGGACTGTCCCTGTTGATGAGTGCATAGCATCTGGCCATTGTCAGAGAGAATATAAAAACATTACAGGGGTTGTTATGAGGTATAATCCGTAAGTACGCTCAGCTTTACAACGCTCTTGAGACTTGCAGAATATTTAAGCTATTGTCGTGTGCTGGTACAAATTCCTAGACGGGAACTCTGCCGAGGTTGTAGTCCAAGAGGGAGAATCTTCTTTGGGACACCTGCTCACGAAATTAGAGAGTCTAAATTCTGGAACTGCTATGATGATATTGTGAATCTCGTGCTTTAGTGGAGGGATGGGCAGGAAAGGGGGAAGTTAAGATGAAAGCCAAAAGGGTGACCAGAACAAAATTACAAGGAGCCTCTTTGAAATCAGGCAATTGTAGCAACCAAGGCCTGTGGTGCTCCTGGAGGCAAGCGCATTTTATGATTTTTTACCGCGCCATCGCGCTTAGCTGCTTGCAAGGGCAACGGGGAAAAGAGTTTGCAAGGCTAGCTCCATTTGCGGCGGCGAACTAACAACAATGATAAGGATACGAACAGGTATGACTGAATATTATGTGGGTAAGCTGTCCATGGACTAACTGTCGACGAAATTCTTTGCGAATTAGATAATCGTGGTTTTCTCCAACTCCTTTCCGTTCTTGCAACTACCTCTTCATGGCCTTCGTCGCTCCAGCCTATACCTACTCTATCCAAACAACCGGTTCCATAAACAGAGTTTCTCATTCTATTAAAGCATGGCTGCCAATCCTCTTAGCTTGCCTTCCTCTGATCCAACAGTCCCGTGCTAGTGATTAACGTCGCAAAGTTCGTCGCCTCCCATCCTTGCGCAAGTGGCGGCAGCGTCCTCGCCTCTATGATCCTCTTCTCGCTGACCATAAACTCCCGAGGCAACTTCACCCCATCCTTCGCATCACCCTCAATTTCGGCACCATTAGTTGTCAAAATCTGTCTGACGACTTCTCGGGCAGACAGTGCCGCTGCTGGCATGCCGTGTCCGGTATACCCAGCACAGATCCAAAGCCCTTCACCACCGCCCATGCTCTCTGGAACGGGCCCAACCCACGCATGCTGGTCTCGGCTGTAGCCCATCACTCCAGTCCACTCAAAGGAAGCATTCAGCTCCCTCGTGGGTGTTTTTTCATCACTATTGGCAGAGGAGGGGGTCAAATCCAGTACTGGCGCCAAGCTCTTCCGCAGATACTCTGCCACCTGAGGCTCCAGCTCATCGTCCCTCCATTCGCCGACCCCCAAGCTTCGCGCGAATCTTCTTCCTCCACCGTAGATCAGCTCCCCCGTCGGCATTGGGCGTTGGACAAGGTAGTCATCTCTCGGCGCAGTTGCACCAGTCTCGATCTCCGGGTCAGCAGCGAATACATACGAGTGGTTCAGCTTGGCTGGGCTCCCTTCTCCAGCATCAACCTTCGGTCTCGGGGGTAGCAACGCGCCGACTTGTCCTCTCACAGGAACGATTAAATCCGCGAAAGCAGGCAGCAGGTGGGAAGTATAACCATTGGTAGCAAGAAGAACATGCCGTGCGGTGATGGATCCCCTCGGAGTAATCGCAACCCAACGGTTTCCCGACTCATGACGGGTGAGCTGGGTGACAGGAGTGTTGGTCTGAAGGTTAAAGGTTGGTGGTGGATACTTGGCTAGCAGACGCTCGACAATTTGGGTAACGAGCTTATATGGCCATAGAGAAGCTGCCTTTTTCTGGACAATGGCACCCTTGGCAGTAGGCACGCGGAGTGAAGCAAGGGTGTCTCCTTGATTTGAAGATGAAGAGGGCCTGACGACCTCCATTTGGGCAGCCAACTCCGGGTGAGTTTGCTGGAGTTGATCAACGCTCGCAGCAGCGAGCTCGAACATGTTCTCGGAATAGAAGGCATGGACGCCCGTGAGGCTCACCCTGTAGTTGTTAGCATGGTCCGGCGAGATAATGATAAAAGGTAAAAGCTCAACGTACCAGTCACAAGGGATATTCTCCTCCTTAACCAAACTCTCCATGAACTTGAACACCTCCAACTCAAATGCCGCCACGGCCGGAGCAGATCCGTAGACCAGAGGCTGGCAATGACCTCCATTCTATGAAAGAGTCATTAGCATATTCCAAGTCTTGTTGACCTACACTCAACTCACCCTTCCAGTGGCCCCAGAGCAAACCTCCCTTGCCTCAAGCAGGACCACCTTCTCCAAGCTTTCCCCTTTGATGGTCCCACCCAACCTGTTTTTCTCCAACAAGAACAACGTCGCGAACACTCCCGTGATGCCACTACCGACAACAACGACATCTGTCTCGACTGGTAGCTCCTCCGTCGTGCGATGTCCCAGCAAGATCGGCGAGGGCTCGCTCAGCCAGTAGGAGGATGTCGGGTTGGCAGAGGGCAGGCCGGAAGGAGGCATTGTCAGCGAAGACTCGGAGCCCTCAGCCTGCTCTGATGTGAGCTCACGGATTGCCATGTTTCCTTTCTCTCTTTTTGGTTATGTTTATGTTAGGTGGCGATGAGATGGGGAAGATTCACGACCCAAGAGGAGGGATAGGGGGGATGAGACGAGTCAGCCGAGGAAGGATGAGAGAGAGGATGGAGGTGGGTTGAGAGAACCCCACTTTATATCGCGGGGTAAAATCGTGAGATATCGAACTGCATCATCTTCTGCCCGCTTCTGTAATTGCTCCAACATTTTTGTATATCAATAACGGAATCATGTGCTTTGGATTACAGGTTCGTGTCAATCCCTCTGTTTGTCGGCAGTGTCATTGGCCATCCATCAACTCCGGTCGTCGTCATTCTCTCGGCGGCAAACTAAGAAAGCTTCTGACCCTGTTCACGCTGCCATGCTACAAACCCATGTTTACGTACGTACTCAGAACTTTAGATCCCATGAACGAACACGCATTTCGGTCGACGCATCGTCCCATGGTTGTCCCAGGGCCAGCCACCGAGACACTGATAGAGAAGGGAGAAAAACCCTGTTTATGACCCCCAGCAGTGCCCCCAACCCTAATATACCTCTAGTCGTGCAGACAGGAACCGAAAAGAAAGTACATAAAAGGAAAGGCATAAAGAGGAGACTCCTTAAGCCTGCATCTTCTTTCTCTTTCCGACCTGGGCCGAGAAACCAGTCTTGATGGGCTGAACGGAACGACGAGAGCCGCACGAGTTGCAGGTAATGAAGCTGCGGATAGTCAGTACTAGTCGCGGAGATCAGGGAGAAGGAAAGGGAACATACTAGAGACGGTTCTCGCCCTTAGACAGCTCAGTATTGGGAGAGCGACAAGTCTTGCAGGTGACATATTCTGAGAAACGACCCGTCAGCACCACTACGGAACAGAATTTGCAACTGCCAGACATACCAATGATATACGTGCGCAGAACGTTCTCAATCTGCTTCTGCTGGAAACGGCCCTTGATGACCAACCGCCTGCTGCCGTCAACACTGCCGCTGGTACCTAACTCAGCAAAGAGATAGGCCGTGACGTGCTCTTCAGCACGCTTCATACGCTTGCAAATCTCAGGCAAGTTGGCAAAAATGGTCTTCTTGTTGCCTTCGCGCAAGCACTGCGGAGGAGGAATCTTGTACGAGCGCTGACCGGCGGAGGCATGGTCAGGGTTCTTCTGGGCCAGCAGGGTGAAGAAGCGGTTGAGCAGCAGGTCATAGTTGATAGTTCTCGTCTCGTCGTGCGACCAGATGCCCGTGCCCTTGTCCATGTCCCCTTCTTGCGGGGCCTCCTCGGCTGCGGCCTCGGCGCTCTCGCCGCCCTCAAGGTTCAAAGCCTCCAGCTTCTTGGAGAACTCATCATCCTCTTTAAGCACCTTCTTTTTCTTCTTCTTCTTCATGGTAAGGTCGATCGCACCGTCGTCGCCAGCCGGGGCAGCATCGCCGTCACCCTCCTCCTTTTTAACCTTCTTCTTTTTCTTCTTCATGAGCGACAGGTCGAGACCATCGGGGTCGGCGCTGGGGTTGACTTCGGCTGCTGGGGCGCCATCTGCTGCCGCAGGCTCGGTCGCAGGTGCTGAACTGCCGTCAGTAAAGGCGCCGAGCGCGGCGGAGAGAGGCGGCGTACGGGGTGTATGCGACATGGCTGTCTCCTTGCTGTCGTCGTTTGGCGTAGTAACCATGGTCACGCTGCCGTCGGCGTCGACAACCAGCTTCTCGTCTGTAAATTGGACCGACTTGCGAGAGGCACGCCTGTAGTTTGTGGAATCCTGTATCTGTTAGCAGGTCGTGTTCTTTGAGAAAGCTCGGGTCTCGAAAATGGAAATTTCCGATTTGCGGCAACCGACACTTGTGCAGAGAGGGGCGTTGAAAGAAAGGACCGGGGTTTCCTTTCTTCTTTTCGTGTGCTCGAGGGTCGTCAATGGAGCCGGAAAGGCAGGGAGTTAGGGAAAAAAAAAAGTCAAGAACTTTCGAGGTGCCCGTCGCTGGAGGGGCAGCAAGCTAAACGCACAGGGAAAGCGGGATGCAGGCGTTTTGCCTGGTGAGGGGGGAAGGACTGCTCGAGGGTTTCTGCCAAAACTCGAAACTTACTTCTGCGCTCATCTTTGGCCGCTGCAAACCTCACACCCTTGCGCTGCTTCGAGTGGCACTCCCCACCGCCTTTTTTTGGCTGGTTCTTCGATGAGTCCTGGTATCTGGACGTGTAGTTGCTGCGTATATAACGCGACCTGGGCCCTGAATATTGCTCAGAGACCAACTATTCACGTCTGTACTTGATTTGCTGCTGCCGCAGTCGATGCGCTGGGAAAAATGGATGACTTTCTGGCGACGACTGTGAACTTTGGCACCGTCTTCATGACGTTGGGCGGCTTTCTGTGAGTCAAGGCAAAGTCACCTGATAAGCGGGGCAGTCGGCCCGCCGCAGTTGGCCGTTTGGCGGGGTAGACAGCTGTGGGCAGGTGGCAGCCAGTTTGGACACAACAGTGTTCGTGTCGTAAGCGCATACTGTAATCGAGGTGCCGGTCCAGTTGTCGGGCGGTTTGAGGAAGCACCAGCTGTGAGGCTGTGGATCGATTAACCAAGTAGCTGGTTGCCATCCAAACAAGACTGTTTTCCAACAATCCCTTCCTCCCCTTAGCTAAGTGTCGATGCCGGCGCCCGATTGAGTTGTCCTCGTCCGTTCCGTGACGGAGACAGCCGTGTCCAAGTGACGAATCTCAAGCCGCCATCACACCGACAACCCCTCCCTTCAACGTCCCCTCCTGAGCTCCCCATAGCTCCAGTCAGCCAGACTCCGGCCCAACATGGCGTCGTCGGCACGGTCCCCCAGCGCGAGCATGTCCGCGAGCATGACGAGCACTGGTTCCTCCTCCTTTGTTATTGCGAGCTCTGCTGCGTCCGAGAACGACGACGTAGCCTCCATCTCGAGCAGCATCCTGGATCATTCGGATGACGACGAGTATAAGTCTGATGCTCAGAAAGAGTGGGAAGCCAGCCTGGAGCAGCTGCAGCTCTTGCTTAGCATGACAGTCATGCCGTTTCTCGGCCGATTCTTGGGCCGCAAGTTCGCCTATTGGAGTGAGTCTTTCCCTCCCCGGCAAGGTAGCTTGCCCGAATGTCTCGCAGCTGACATAGGATTGTTTGCAGGTTGGGCGAGGTTCATGGAATGGAAATACGGCGTTGAGATCCAATGGGGAAATGTTCCTGCGTTCAGCGCTGTCAGCGGGACAGCCAAATCGATCAAGCCTGCAGCATCATTATGACTAGGCGGGTTTACCGGCTGGGAGGAGCAACTCGTACATATTGACTAGAGTGTATCTAGTATTGGAGGGAACTTGGGTTGTCAAGGAGTTCTGGGGAAAGGGATTGTCATATATTCAGCATTTATACAAGTTTTGTGTGGTCGTTACACAGGAATCAGAAGATATCACGGCAGTCTTGTATACGCTTTGGGATTGCAAGAGATGTGTTTGTGGCCTAAATGGATCCGAATATACGTCCAGAGCATATTTCTTGTAGAAAGTCAGGGCGATTGTTACCGAACTCAACATAAAAGATCCCGCCCACCTCCTTTACCCACAAGTATAAACTAAAACTGTCCGCCACCACCAAACCCATACATGGTAACCCAGAACAAATGAAACCAGCCGCCAGAACGTTTTCACATCCTATACCCATTAATAATCCCATTAATAGCCCTGTTGTGTGTCCCCAGTCATTATACAATAGTCTTGAACCGTCATATAACAGAGGATAAACGCACATCATTACCCTGTCCTTTCATCGCCAGCTGTACCCAGTCCTTACAATACCGGTGTTCCAAGTCCTTGCACCTTGATGTAGAGAGCTGTGACTAAGATAGTTCATTTATACACGAACCTGCGACATGGTCGGACCCGTCCTAATGCTGCCACCGGCACGACGGAAGCCCATGAAGCTCAGCGTCAGGGCAGTGGCGAACGTGGCGAAGAGGAACCACATGAAGACAGTGCTAGCTTGCACCTGCCGGCAGCGCTTCGTATCATTGGCACTGCCATAGGCGATCCAGCTGGGAGAGCGGTCCTCTGTGTTGGCGCAGTTGACGGCACGTAGTTTCGCAGCGAGAACAACGGCATCGATGAAGGTGAAAAGTGTCGCAGTGGCGTCGGCGCCCAGAAGTGCCAGGACAGGAAGAGAAATGCGCTCGATCAAGCTAGTTGCCAGACCGACCAGCCCAGCCAGCCAGGATATGACGATGACAAACATAGAAAAGTTGATCGCCGCAGTCGCGGATCCAGCGGCGTTAATGTTGGTGGAGATCACATTGCCGATAAGGCCAGTCAGGATGACGATGAAAAGTAGCTGGATCGCTCGCAGGATCAGGCCAAGTTTCTCCATGGTAAAGCAGCTTGTTGCTCGTCAGTCAGACCTGCTCTGAATTGGGTTGGAGAGGAGGTTTTCCGTGCTGGGCGCTCGAGTTATATATGTGGTCTTCAGAGGGCTGATTACTCGTGTAAGGAGAAAGCCGTCGGTATGTGCTTTCTTGGGGGGTCTTTGTTCCGGTTGTTGAGGTTACGAAGAGCCGCAGCAATCCTTTAACCTTTGTTCATGAAATGGGCCTCTTGATGACTGTTGTTGAGAAGAGAGGAAGCCACGTATTCTGATCTGCAGAACAAAAAAATTCAAAAGCAATGGAGAAAAACCGAGGGGGTGGGGTGACAAGACTTTCTACCAAAAGAGCATGCCCAATTTCATGGATGGCTGTGGTAGGAGCGGGAACAACAGCAACAAATGCAAAAGAGAGGCTGGTTGGCAGGGAAGCCTTATGGTCCAAGCACTCGAAAAGTGGACCTATGACGGCATGGATGCGGGGCCAAGGCGCGAAAACTAAGGCCAGCCTTACTCTTGGGACCAATAGAACTTCATAGATCTACTAAGTGGATCCTAAATTTTCTGCATTACTTTTACAGTTGACGATCCATCGCCAAGGAGGATGTGAGTTTTTCACAAATTCTCATTCGAAAGTTTCTGGCCAGAAGTATATGTTATGTTTCCGGACTTTGCCTGAACGTTTAATAACACGTTCTTCGTTGAATGGCAGGAAAGCGGTCGACTGGGAAGCAGAGTGACACAAGGCAGTGTGAGCTGCCGCGCAAGCAGCTTGGACATACGTCAGCCAATCATTGGACGCCAAGACCGGATTTCTTGGAACATTACCGGCCCCGCGATGGTTGATCATCCCCACCCCCACCTCTCGATCCCCTTCTTGGCCCAGCAACCAAATGGTTGCGCAGGGCCTTGCAGACGACCAGCGGCCAATAAGAACAGAAAGCGCTTCTCCTACTCAGCAGACGGAACTTACAGCAAACGAACAGAGGGGAAATATTGATCCCATGACATTCACATAAATTCTCTATCCCCCTCCAGTCGTGCGTCTGATCCTACTTGTACGTTCTATTGCTCAAGGCTCTCCAGTTGTTCACTCAGTACGAGACGGTGGTAAGGATCTCTCTCAGCAACTTCAGAATACTTTTCCACAAATATCTGGCACCAATCAACCAGATAACAAACCCTTCCAGAATCCTACACGCAGTATGCTGAACACCGAGATGAAGGGTAATGGTACCTCGGGGGTGAGCCCCTCCGTTCCATTTTCTCCCGGTTGACTCTGGATAAATGCGATTTGCACCTTCTCTATTGGGACAACAAGCAACACTGTTATCTCGACTTCGACCAGCTTTGTCTTGATCCATTAGTAGTATATCTCGCCCGTTTAATCCGTATGTCGTCCGTTAGTCTTCGTCATTGGATCAAACAATATGAAACAGGTCATGATGGCCCATTCAGACGTCGAGAAACAACCACTCTTTTCTGCCAATAAAACCACCAAAAGCTCAACAAACCATACTTATTTACGGTACTCCTTAGCAGCACTAGCTGCTCTTCTTATAGTATTGCGTTGGTATTGCATCGTTGGCTTGGAAGGAAGTTCCCCAGTGATCAGACCAAGTTTCACCAATGAGGACAGTCAGGCGAAACCGAGCCGCAGCAGACATGTTCCCGATGCCATCATTTCGCGATCTCCGGTACTTGAAACTAATGAGCATGATCCAACAACCGCTACCTCCTCGGCCGCAGCTCCGACCAGGACCGTCTTAAAGACGTTCGAAGTTGCTCAGCCTGTCCCAATGCCCGACGGTCCTGCTGAAAGTGATGGCTCAACTCGTCATGCTAAGGACTACTCTCCTGAGTTATGCACCGTTCTTTTAATGCGCCACGACTTTGCCTGGAGCTACGGACAGCCATACATTGGTAAGCTTGCTAGAGTGTCTCTCAATATCTAACTTAGGAACTCGTTTGACACTAGTCTGGAATCACAGGGAATTATACTCCCCCTGACTGCGAATTCAACAGAGTCGTCCTCAACTTCAGCGTTGTCAGTCACGGACGGCAATATGACCGTCTAGCTCTTATGTACTTCGGCAATACTGAGGTTTGTAAGTGTTTTAGTCCTCTAGTCCAGAGCTCATGTTTCAGAATGCTTTGAATGTTCGATTGAAAGGGAGGGGGGAGAAAACCTTTGGCCTGACATGACGATAGGGAGAACATCGACAGCACAACCCACTGTCCCTCCTGGGATTAGTTGGATCTATCTGAAGGACATGACGGAATACATGTACTTTTGGAAGTCTCCACAAAAGATCATATTTGATCTCGGAAACTTAATCAGTGAGTGATCTGCCCTCCTAGCTGAGAATCACCTTGCTAAATGTATGACAGATGAAAAGTATACTGGAATTTTCAATACCACGTTGACAGCCATCTTCTACAAAGCCGATGTGGATGCAGACCAGGGACGTCCCAGCGACTTGATAATCCCCATTTCAGCACGGCGGTCAGCCAAGAATGAAGTCAGTCACTTTACTCTCCCTGCGGAGAATGCAACAAACACGATCATACTTCCACGTAACGTCCGTCGGGCTGTCTTTTCTGTGTCAGCAAATGGGCAGACAGCTGGGGAAGAGTTTTGGTGGGCTAACGTGCTCCAAAGCACCGTGGACACTTTCAACGAAACAGCAGGCCCCTATCCAGGGTATAGCCCGTTCCGAGAGGTACAGGTATTAATCGATGGACAGCTTGCGGGTGTTCAGTGGCCGTTCCCTGTCATCTTCACCGGGGGAGTCGTTCCATCTCTTCACCGCCCTATCGTTGGAATCCATGCATTCGACCTTAGGGAGCATCAAATCGACATCACGCCCTTTTTGCCCATATTATGTGACGGCAATCCGCACACCTTTACCATTCGCGTGGCTGGAATTGATGACTCCTCCGGTTCAGGTCACCTCACTGAAACTGTCAATGACAGCTGGTATGTCACAGGGAAGATATTCCTTTGGCTTGATGAGGACACATCTTCTATTACAACGGGGAGTGCACCAGTTATTCTTGAGGATCCCCCCACGATTGCTATTTCTCACAAAGTCACGACGTCTGCCAATGGCACCAACGAGACACTCACGTATGAGACTGCTGTCTGGCGCCATTTGCGCATTAGCACTCCCCTTCTCAAGACACAGCACACTTCGTCACCAGCTACTTGGATTCAAGAACTTCGCTATCGTAATAGTGGTGGTTTGACGGCTTTTGGCTACGACCAAGTGAACGACCTCGTTATCTCTGGCAACGACTTGGCTTTGAGTGATTTGCCTGGCCAGAGTGATAAGGGTGATCAGGACAAAGTTTACTACCAAGCGTCCTATACTTATCCTCTGTTTGCCAACTCAACCTTCTCGATCTCTTCTCAAGGAAACCTCTCGATATGGGCTTACGTGCGCCAGGGCAAGTCCTACGTGGTTCGCGGCGCGAGTGTCTTTGCCACTGGCCTAGAGGCATTCCCGGCCACGAGAGGAAAGATCTCGCTCCTGGAGACAAGCAAGGAGGGCGAGGGCCATTTTCAACAAAGCGGCGATGGGATAGAAAGCAGTGGATGGGGAAGCTCGAAACAGGTCTTTTGGTTTGGAATTCAGGGGCAGTATGGTGATAAGGAGGAGGAGTTGTACTTCAGGGATGTTGAAGCCGTGAACGGGACGGTAGTCCGAGATGTCAGAAGACTGGGCGGTCAAGATTTTCAGCCAACACTTACCAGTGAAGACAATGGATCACAAGTCAGTGATCCAACGGGAGACCAGGTAGAGGCTCAAAGGTCAACGGTGTTCGCTCGAATCGCCCGACCTGTTTCGTTGAAGAGGAGCAATTGGTCCCCTTGAACGCAGCAGGGGAAAGCTTACACGATTTAGCGAGCCATGGATTTGGAATAAAACTCAGACTTAACAGTTAGGTCAAATCTGATCACATTCCCCACCAGTTTCACTACCACCATGGCAGTTCCCCTTTTCGTTGCCGTGGCAACCAGTCCTCTGGGACTTCAACCAAAAAAATGACTATCCCGGTTGACTAGCATGGCGTGAACTATAAGGCGTGAGCTTTTCCTATTGAACCCAAATCAACCTCATCCAAATGCGTCTAGGATTGGTGTGTACACATCGATCTTAGGGTGGCCGCAGTTGTCCCCAGAACCCGATGGTGAAGCCTACCCAGCCTAGAGGAGTAGGAATTGAACCATTGAAGATAGAGGAATAATGCTATTTGCAAAGAGCGGGAATCACATTTTCGAGTGACGACTATCGAGCTTCGCAACATCAACGAGATTTTGATAATACATTTGGTGGTGGAGATTCTAATACAAATTGGTGGTGGTACAGTCTATGCGAGATGCCAGCCGCTTGCTCATCCACGGATGCTGCCCCAAACCGAACGCCGGTCTAACCTAAATGCATCATCTCCCTCCTATCGTGGCTCGCAAGAGTACTAATATTTGACGCTTGCCCCAAGACACAAAGATCCCGAAATACACCATACGCCCGTTTTAACTACGTTCACGCATGTTTCCCCCTCCTCTTGCCGATCTCCCACCCCCATGATCTCAATACCTTGACGACTTTAGGAGTGATGGCGGCTGTCAGAGGAACACGGAGGAAAATGAAGCTCTTATGGATAGCATATGCGAGGGCAAGTTGGGTAGCCAAACCTGGATGGGCCGTCAGCGTGCAAAAAAAAATAAAAAGAAAACATAAAAATGAAAAGGAAAGATAAAAAAAATCATAGCAGTCTTGAAGTCACTTACTGGCCCCCTCTTGTTTGCTCCGCTTCACGGCCTCCTCAACGCCGTGGCCAATGACCTCTACCTCCAATTCCCCAGTCCTCTCGTGTCTTCTCGCCTTGAGGGACTGGCGAACATCGCGCCACCAAGTCCGAACTCCTTCAGGGATGACTTTCTTGACGCTCTGTACAACCATATCCTCAAAGTGGGCTTCAGACGATGACAAGAATCACAAAAGTCAGCACATCATCCCTACCAAGCCAGTCAACCAGGGAGACACTTCAGCCCTTACCAATCTTCTCCGTGCCCACAGTCCGCACCAGCAGGAAGCATAGTGGGAAGTCTAGTACCGACAAGCCCATGTAGACCCCCAGAGCGGTCCAGCCGTACTCTCGCGATAGCTTCTTCAGCCGCCCACTAAGCGAAAGCTGTTCTTCTGCCTCCGACCCCGCCTTTCCGGCCTTGTCAGCCCCGCGGCGTGCGCCCCCCGACCAGCGAAAGCCTCTGTTTGTTCTGCTTGATGGCAGCTTTGAAACATGTAGGTTGACATTCAGTCGTTTCGGTGCTGTGCGAAACTGCGACAGAAGCATTCTTTGGTGCCATGGGACGACTACTGTGCGGGCTATTGTCCTCTGGGCTCCTGCTGTTGGCCTTATGCTCGCCCCTGGCATGAGGGCGCCGAATGCCCTTAACACAGCGTGCTGCATCATCGACGTTGAGATATTTCGGCGGATCACGACGGTGGTATTCGTTGTCTCGTAGGCTTTTTAGCCCTCAAGCATGCTGCAACGCGGGCAAAGTCTCACGTAGACCGGCTCCGTAGCTACTCCGATCAGCCGGTCTGCGTATCCCGGGCGCGGGTGTAAGTCAGGGGTTGGGCTCGTTGCGGGTCGGACGTTGTGTAGTATGTTAAGGAGGAGAATACGGCTCTGTAGCTTTCCCTGGACCGAGTAACGCACCCTGCTACTTAACGGCAACAAACACAGAGCTGTCACCCAGGGATTTAGTTTTGAACGGAAGTGATTCAATGTTGGGAGGGTCCGGAGCGTGCTGCGCTCCAGTGGGCTGGTGCTGAGCTGGCCGGCGGCCGTGGGCGTAGTTTTATTTTTTTTTCGTTTTTTTCAGCCCACGACGATGCGTTCCGAGCTCCCGGCGGCCAACCACAAGCAAACCGGTGATGCAATGGCCCGCGAGCTGCCAGCCCGAAGCAAACTGGTGGCGTGAACTCTCATTGGCCAATGCTTCCCAACGGCCGGAAGATCGGAGAATTCTGTCCTCCGGGGTGGGACTCGCGCGCGAAGGATCGGGTACCCCACGCCGCCAGAACGCCAAGAGGCGGTGCAGTTGCCATCCATCCTCGTGTACTCAGCGCGCCATCGAATGATTCACTCGTCCACAAGGGCTCCTTGTCTGCGGCAAGTCACCGACAGCAACCGCAGCAATAATTCTGCCTTTCGACAGCCACTAGCGTCTTCAGCCGCTTTTCGCACTGGTCGGCGCGTTTGGAAATTGGCGAACTTGGCATTGGTACAAATGCTCGATCTAAACTCTTCTGGCGAGAGGCTGACGATGCAAATGGCGAAGTTGGGCTCCAGGAAAAGCGGGTTGATGCTTGGTGTGGCAATCGGGCCAATCGCCAGCCGCAACTCCCGCCCGCCTAAGCGCCCTCAACACCATAGACCCCGCGTGTGTTTACCAGTGCCGGAGATCGTTGATTGGGTCGTCGTGCTGTCCCGTTGTATCATTCTCAAATTAGCTACCATGTGGTACCTTGCTGCATTCAGGGGTCCAGCAAAGGGCCACGCGCTGCCCACTGTTCCTCCTGCAACTTCAAAAGCAGTTGACATGCCGCGTGCCCCTTGAGCTCTGCTGAATCTTCCTGTCCCTCCCACCTTTCAGAGTTCAGAAGTGCTTGGTGTTGTTCTTATCGGCCCAGGTCGGATCTGAGTGACTTGGTCTGCGACAAGAGTCCATACGCTATACGTACTCTCAAACGTGATCGTGAGTGCGGGGTTGCTACCACGATCTGAGAACTCCAACTCCCAAAACAGGCAGCCACTGAATCTCGCAAGAAGTCTGGAGTTCCTAAGAATATACTACATTCTGAGTGTCTAGTGTCAAAAGACAAGATGTCGGGTTATTATCCGCGTGAGTATACAAACATAGCAACTACCAGAAGGAGAACTAAAAACTAATGCCACATGCCCTCTGTCAGCCCCTCCTGGAGCTGCTGGAGGTATGTCCAACTGCGCATCTTTAGAGCAGATATTGCAGAACTCGACGCTGACTGTGTGATCGCGAACCAGCCCCGCAGTCATACCCTCCTCCTCCCATGTCTGCTCCCCCGACCCAGACCCAGTTCCAGCAGTATCCTCCGCCGCCAACAAGCTATCCCCCCCTCCCCAGGCTGCTCCCGCTCCGACACCTCCTGCCAACTCGTCGACTCCTCAGCAGTATCCCCCTCCCCCTCAGCTATCGCAATATCCCCCTCCTCCGCAGCAGCCCCAAGCACAATATCCCCTCCTCCGACTCAGCAACAGTACCCCCCTCCTCCTCAACCGCAGTATCAGCCTGCTCAATACCCCCCCTCCCCCTCCTCCTCAGCAGTCTCCGACGCAGCAGCAACAACAATATCCCCCACCGCCCCAACCTCAGGCCTTCCAGCATGGCGCTCTTCCTTCGCACGTTCGTACCGCATCTGTTGCGACCGCCGGCTCCCCAGCCCCTCAGCCGCCCTTCTCACCCCCTCCTGCATATCCTGGACAGCCTAACGACAACAGCTATCCAGATGAAAAGAAGATGCTTCAGCAGCAGGAGCAGGCCCAGCAACAGGCTGAGCAGCAGCAGCAGCAGCAGCAGCAGCAGCAAGCTCAGCAAGCTCAGCAGCCCCAGATGCAGCAACCTGCTCCTCAGCTGCCTGCTCCAGGCCAAGTGACCCCGGCGGCCACTCTGCCCCCTGCTCAACCGGCGGCCACTCTGACCCAGCAGCCCCAATTCGTGGGAGCCACGTCGACATATGTCGATGATGTGGGCACCTTCAACGGCGGCAGCTATCGCATCAGCCACCGCGACAGCAACACAGTGCTGACCATCCAGTTGGCCGTTGGCTGTCCCATCAATGCAAAGCCGGGCGCCATGCTTGCCATGTCCCCCAGCGTGCAACTCAAGGGTCACTACAAGATTACCGTCAAGAAGTTCTTGGCAGGAGGTGATATGGGCACGTCGACATTTACGGGACCCGGTGAGGTCCTCTTTGCACCGCATATGTTGGGCGATATCACCAGCTTGAGGCTCAACGGCGGAAACGAGGCATGGAGCGTTAGCTCGGACGCCTATCTTGCGTCGACACAATATATTGTCAAGGATTATAAGCGTCAGGGTCTGAGCAAAGCTATCTTCAGCGGAGAGGGCCTGTGGGTGTACAAGATCACGGGCACTGGTCTGGTGTGGTTGACTAGCTTCGGTGCCATCATTCGGAAGGATGTAAGTTTATATTCTCCCAACACTTTGTCCGTGTAAGAAGCTCTAACACACACGTCAGCTGGCGGAAGGCGAGCAATACATCGTCGACAATGGTCATCTTGTTGCCTGGAACACCAAGTACACTATTGAGCGTGTCGCATCAGGTGGTCTCATCTCAGGCATGGCTGCTGGAGAGGGTCTGGTGTGCAAGTTCCATGGTCCGGGCACTGTCTTCATCCAAACCAGGAATGCGGTAGGTTTACATAAATATCTGGTCTATTATGGTAATAGCAGTATCTGACTGGTTGCAGAAATCATTTGCTGCGTACATTCAGGGCCAGCAGCCAGCTGCGTAGGATTGAAAGTCCTTTGGGAAGAAAGATCGATGATGGAATTGGTTATGATGAGCGATCTAATATCTTTACCTTCATCTATCTGTTCTCGGTTGCGACAATTCTGTTTGTGTTTATTTACCAGTACCCCTCATGTAGCAATGTCAACTGGTCTCCAACGTTTGTCAACAAGCTTTAACCGGCAATGAGGTTATGTTCATCCTATCAAACTCTGCGAGCTGAGTCTCAGTGGGCTTGATTGGAGAAACTAACAATTGGTTTATTCCCCTGCCCAAATTGCCTAGTTTAAATTCTGATCACCCCCGTACTTCCCGTGAAATAAGGTCGCAATTTCTTCAAAGGCTGTTCCCCGCGCTTGTTGGGGAGGAGCATAGATGCTGTCTATCATGGCTTGGCGCTTATTGCGGTCCACGGTTACTGTGGAAAACATGTTTACATGCTCCCCCTTTTTTTTTCATGTGCTCCAGTACCTGCGTGCTCGGGTTCCCCCAACATCTGAGGACCGGAGACTTGCCGTTCAAAGCTTTCTTGCACGTGCTGATCAGCCAAGAGCATCTAAGGTACTCAGCACTCAGATGTATATCAAATGCACAGCGGAAGGCAAATGTGGCAAGTGAGGGTGCCACAAGTTTGATTTTCACGATGGAGTTGTGCTTCCCAGCGTGGAAGGCATTATATGCTGGTGTCTCAACATCATATGTCGCTTCCTTTCTTTGTCCTAGCATTAAGCTTGCCATAACAGATGTTTCAATAGGATGAGGAAAGGAAGGATCCAAGCACTTATTCTGTGGATATGGTTCATGATCCGGCGGATACCTTCATCCCTCTCTCCGCAAGGCAAAGCGTCAACAAGCGTCTATCTGGTACTACCAGCCAGCCAGTGAGTCCTTTCTGAGACTTCCGGATCGATGCGTTGCCGATTCAGCGAACTGGTCTGGACTGTTGACATCTGTCTTCTCTCCAGACTAACACAACGTTAAGTCTCTTTTTTGGGTACCTTGTACATATTCCTCTGAGGCAGCGTTACCGCATCTCATCACCAGCATCGAGCGTTGGGCCAGCACGTCTCCGGACGCTGTTCCTTGGAACCCACTGCAAGGTGACCGCCAATCAAGTCAACTAGCAGCACGATTAGTCTTCTAAGGTACGTTCTTGTGTGTTAAACTGCTCCCCTATATCTTGGAAATTGTCCAGTGCTGACGCCCTATGATTTAAGGAAACCTGCCAACGTACTTCTATTCTCTCATTAACTTGTCAACTGTCATCTCAGCTTTTTCGATTCCAAAATGGAGGCCAACTCCGAGGTCTGGGAAGAAGTAAAGCGTTTCCTAGACACCCCAGAAGGAAGACGAATAGTGGAAGAGCAGACCCGGCGTCTCAGGGAGCAATCCAAACTCCACAACGCCCAACGCCCTGGCTGGCTTCCTTTCTTCCCTCCCTCTGCCTGGGCACCGAATCGGCCAGCTAAGAGCAATACGGTTGAGAACCGCGCGCTCGGCGGAACTCCATCCCCCGAAGTATTGGAGAAGGTATACTTGGCACTAGCCGCCAGTGGCGTTTGGAGAACTAGTGAACTGGAAACAGTGTCCTCTAACACCACACCGTTGAAGGCTACTACCAACGTTGACATTTCGAATCCTCCCACTGCAAAGTCTAAGACGACATCACCAGCTAAATCTCCTTCCCGAAGGGAACACCACCCCAGCCTAGCGCAGGGCGTTCCTCAACTCAAGCTGGATACGGCTTCTGTGAGGACCTTGCAAGATAGCTCGAAGGCTGGAGCCCAGGCTTCTACCGGTCTTGCTTCCACGACCAGAGATAGCAGTGACTCTTCGTCAGGAACATCTCAGGGCACGACTTTTTCAAAAGAGGAGCGTACGAAGGAGTCATCTGCGACCTCTCCAGAATCCAAGCTTGAATTTGACTTTGGCATCAACACCGGACAGAAGGGTAAAGAGAGAGCTACTGCATCTTCTCCTTGCCTAGGTCTTCCAACGAGCATCACTTCTGTGGAGACTCATTCGAGTATCCTTGATGGCGATACGGCCTTCGATAACGATGCCCTGGAAGTCGATATCGCCATCCAGTACCGTGTCCCCAAGGAGGAGCTTGTCCCTTGGGAGCAAATCAACTCAGCTCCCGTCCGCAGGCTGAGCTCATCCGAGTCAACATCCATGTTCACCCCAGGAGATGGACGCAATCGTGAGGTCAGCTCCTCCAGCTTCATTGGTGATAGCTCTTGTGAGGGCAATGCTGTAGGTTGTGACAACAAATCAGACCACCTTCAGAAAACAAACGATCCAACGACGACAGATCATGTCAGTCATCACGATGGCGCGACTCGCGTACCAGCCTACTGTCACCGCCAGGGAAATAGTGTACATCATCCATCAACCAGTGTTCTGGTCGCCCAGGGCGAGGTTCCGGTTGAAGTTATCAGTGTTCAGCCGCTCATGACCCAGGTTGGTGGCGATGCTATCCAGTCATCTCGTCAATACTCAGTGGAAGTTTCTCCTGTCAGACCCCTGGAGTCGACTAAACCAGCAGGGGAGGGCCGAACTACCTGGCCAACAGATCTTTCTTCCGCTCAAACCCGCGTTGCCAGTCTCTACCCGGTTGTTGAGCCGGATAGGTTGCAGGCCAGGTCTGCGCGGAGAGAGGAGAACGATTTCAGACGCTCTGACGATATCACAAAGTACCCGGAAGACGCATCTAGTCAAATGCAAGGACCAACTCCTCCCACAAACGTGGATTCGAGAGGAGGTGAGCCTGGCGAGCAATCCAGCACTGCGGGAGATGGCATCACAACATCTCCCAAAACCCAGCTTTCTGAACGTGTTCATGAGACATGGCACGCTGCTGACGACCTCGGGCCCAACGGAGCGCAAACTGGCAGACCTTACTGCAACGTGGTGACTGAGGTTCATAGTCGCTTTCAGAAGGTTCTCGGTCGTATGGGCGTGTCTACTGCTCCTCCTCCTGCACCCACTCCAACCTCTGGAATGGATGTAGGGGAGGTGAACCGGGATTTCTTTCCTCAAGAATCTCTCGATTACCTCAGGGAACGGCTTGACGCGTTAAAAAAGGAGCGCGATGGAGAAGCCCATGCCAATGACAAAGAGCAGGATACTCGCTCCAAGGGCAGAGGAGGGCGCGACGTAAACCGCAGGTCTGGGGATGATCATGCCAATGCTCTGGCATCTGGAGAGCCGACAGTTTATGGTCGCCGCAGCGACAGGTCAAGCAAGGTTGGACCGACCCTGGCTGTTCCGACCATCAGCCTCCAGACGGGATTGCGGGCATCTGATGGCTCGACCGACTCGGGTTATCATTCGCAAAGTGGTGGTCAGTCATCAAGGCTCAATCCTGCTGCCCCCGAGTTTACGATGTCGAGTAACAATACACCCACATCAGCTCGACCGGCTTCCGCCAATCCTGTACAGGGGGGCTCAAGTACTGGCAACACACGCATCACGCCAACGCTAGCTGCTCCCTACCCATACTTTGTCAGCGTGCGCTCTGATGGCACTGTTGTTCCAGTTCTTATCCCGCCAACAACTTTGGCGGCCCAGCAGATGGCATATCTTGTCAACATGCAAGCAAGACAGTCAACAAACTCATCAGATCGACCTAATGCCCCAGGCTACCCGAGTGTGGTTCCTCTCGTGAGTACTGGAAGCACTGCTATCCCCCCAACCACGATCCCGTTGGCTCCTGCAGTTGCTCCTGTCCCGGCTGTCCCTGGTGTTTCTCCCACAAATGCAACAGGTCCTCTCGCTTCACAAATTACTCAGCCAACGATGACGGCTCAGATGATGCGCCCGTTCTTCCCCGTCACCACGAAGCCCCGTGACCATGACCCAGTCAAGCAGCAGCTGTACGAGATGTGGCTGGAGTGGCGAAAAGAAAACGAGCCCGGATACCACTTGGGATGCAAAATGCGTCAAGCCCAACGCGTGCTGCGGCAGCACCAACAAGAGCAGGCACGGAAAGCGCAGCAGCAAGCCCAGCAAGAATGGAAAGAGATGGCGAACAAGGCCAAGGCTGCAGCTGCTGCAACTGCTAAGGCCGCAAAAGAAGAGGCTGAGAGAAGGGCAAAAGAAGAAGCCGAGCGGAGGGCCAAGGAGGAAGCAGAGAAGGTTCTGAAGCAAGTTGGGGTTGTTGCTTCGGTCCATGCTGGTTGGATCGCTCCTGGACAGCAGCCTCATAATGTCCAGCACCAAGGTGACATGAACCGAGGACAACAGAGTCGACGAGTTCCTGCTGCCGAGGAGGACGAAAATCTTGAGGATCGAAAGCTTCCTCCTGAAGAACCCCCAAGTGTGGAGTCTAATAATTCTAAGGGACAGATCAAAGAGATCCCTGCCCCAGAACCTGTGGACGGCAAAGTTGAGGGGCCCAAGAAGCAAACTCAGGTTGTCGTTAGTGGAACATATGATGATGTTGGCAAAGCTCTCGATGAACACAAAAACTTGGTAGAACAGGCCTTGGGAAAACACAGAGATGAGACCCGGAAGGCTCTGCAATCCCACGAAGAGAAAGTAGAACGGGCTTTGGGAGAGCAGAAGGACACGATCGTGAAGGTGCTAGATGAGCAAAAGGAGACGAAGAAGGCCATCGAGCACCTGGAGAAGGTTGTCTTGTCTGTTGTTGCGACCGATCGTGTTAAGACAACCGAGGTTGCTGGAGAACAGAAAGTGGAGGGAGCCCCGAAAAGTGATGGAGTGGCGAAAAGTGACTCTGGGAACAAAAGGGTCGGTGATCAGCGGCCCTTTCGTAGGAAAAAAGGGGGGGGGTTTCAATCATTTCGTAGGAGGGACCAGCATCGTGAGAGGGAAGTCAGGAAGGACTAAGTTTTGGGGGATACGAGGTTGTTTTATGACATTGGCTTGTATCATTTTATTGGTGTTTGACTTTGTTTATGGTGCTTATGTTGTCTTGGTCAACGGCTCGAGACAACATCCCGACATGTTGGAGGAGTCATATCATTCTTAGCTTCAGCTTTGTCGCGAACGGCGACCTCTTATTGTGTGATTGTGTTGGCTTTTTGCTTTGTTAAAGGATATCGGGATAACCTTTGTTTCAGTCTCGTTGTTATTTGACAAACTGCTGTTGGGTCTGGGTACACCATCATCTCTATCATGATCAACCGGGAGGGAGGAGAGTTGGTGGTGCTTATCAGACCTGATGGTTAGTCTTGATTGTTTAGCACTTTGCTGGGAGTGGAAACTTGTGATTATTCATCCTCGAGGTTAAAAATAATTTATGCTATTTCTTCACCTGCCGGTCTGCATACTCATTTGTCGTGCGATTAGACCGTCATGTCTTCATAATCTCTGTCCTATCCGTCGACCGAAAGGCTTAACCCTGCCTTGGCTCTGCCAATCCCCCCAAACCTTGATAAACAACGACATTTCCCCACCCTTCGCTGAAGGAAACTTGGGCGAGCAGAAGACCACACCCAACTGGGTCATTGCCAACCTTCTTTGTACCACTCATACCATCCAGCCGGAACAAAATTCACAGTATGATGAAGCTTGACTCCATGCTCTGCTGCCAGCTTCTTAGCCTCATCCCACATTATCCCAGATAGTACCGACTGATGGAGCTCCTTGACGCTCGGATGTCGGATCAGCTCCAGCATAAAGCCGGCTGCTTGCTCGTACATGCCGGGGTAGGCCATGACGGTGTGCAATTTAGGGAAGCACTCGATCCAATCGAGCAGGGGTTTCCCGTTGAATGTACTGGCGAGCACCGAGCCGTGGCTGTCTGCGTCAGCCCAGTTGAAGTCGCGCAGGCCAAGGGTGTGGAGGTTCTCGCTTTGTGCGAAGGATAGGTCGGTGGCGGGGTGCTGGATAGGCTCTGCGTTGTGAAGGAGGTGGCGAATGCGCGGGTCGCTGGGGAATCTGAAGGTTGGGTCGATGGCTAGTTCGAGGACTTCAAGGCTGCCGTTCTGGGCGGCTGGTTCAAGGAGGGGCTTGAGGAGGGAGGGCTTGATGTAGGAGCGGCAGCGGAAGGTTTGGAGGTGAGGGAGGTGGGGAAAGTCAGTGATTGGGTCGGGGTATAGGTTAGGATAGTCTGTTGTGTTTCGTGCAAAAAAGATATTGTGGCTAAGTTCGACGTTGTCGGTGAGGATTTCGATGTGTTGGAGTGTGGATGGTAGTGGAGGGAACCGCCTGCCTTCGATTGAGGCGGTGATGACACCTCCAGGAGACATACGGTGTATAATTCTGGGCCCAAGAACAAGTCGACGAAGGCTGTGCCACGCATACTTTGTGAGACTGTTTGCTGCAAAGTCATGTAGAAGATCGTTTGGATGCAAATGAGCGGTGTGCGGTGCCCATTCCGGTTCGAAATTGTCTAGGTACAGCTCTTCCAGGGCAGGGGTCCTAGGAATTATCGATAGCTGGGTCGGTCAATAGCTGCGTATGGTACTGGAGGCTGAGGGGTATAAAGTGTGCGTCTTACCAGTGGGAAATTCAGTAGCCTTGTCGAGATGATACGAAGCCTTCTTAGCTTCGGAAACGAGCAACTCCCGAGACAAAACCTGAAGTCATGACTGCTGACGACGTCAAGGCTCTCGAGGGTGTTTGAACACAGTTGGATCAACTCAGCACCAGCTACTGGAAGATCGATGTTATGGAATGAGATATGGGTCAGATTTGCACTGGTCCTTCCTCGGAACACGTTACCCACATCTGGAGGATTTTCCCATTTCCTGGAACCCAGGTGAAGGCGCTGAAGGCGAGGTAGGCCGTTGACGATTTGTCCCATTTTATGTGGAGTAAGTCTGAAGTCATCGGTCTCGAGGATGATTAAACTCTTGGCGTGCGATAATCTCTTGAGGAAGCTTCGTAGCTTCATTGTGCTGCGTGGATGCACGAGTCGAATTACAGTCCAGAGAAGTTTATCTTGGAGTATGGTCTGGTACCACAACTTGCTCACTCTTAGGCAGGAGCTGTGATAGTATTAGAGCCCTACATTCTGGTCGTCAACCTGTTTCACTTACATCAGGCTGCTGGTCGAAAGAAACGAAAATACTATGTGAATAACTTCTGGGGGGAGTGTTTTGACGGGATCTTTTCGTGTCTCTACAATCCCGAGTCTCTGCCCCAAGCGACGAAGCCAGTCCTAAAGACGTGTCGTCAGTCAAGTTCTATTGCTTTGTCCGCTGAAACAAGCTGGAGCGACTTACTTCGTACTCATCAGAATCCCTGCGACGATAACGCTCTACATTATGCAATCCACTTTTTATGAAAGCAGTCATGAGGTGCGGCAATGTTTCCGAGTTTGAAGAGAGTCCAGACATACGGACAATCTCATCTGCTGCTCGACGAGCAGACATAGCCAAACTCGAACTCTCCGCTTTGAGACCTTTACGCAGCTCGCGTAAAACTTCGGCAGCACGTACATAGCCCTGGGCGGCTGATGGGTCCAGACGGATTATGCTCAACGCAGTTGAAAAGGCGGAGATATAATTTCCTGTCGTCATCTGTGTTCCGGCAAGGCCGTAAAGTGCTGTGGCATGCAGGGCCTGAGTGCATCTCGGCCACTCATAGCCACATGCACATGGTCGCCTGCTAACTTGAGCAAGGACTTCAGGATCATGGGTGAGAAGGGCCTTGAGGCATTGCTGGATGTGACAGGATTTGTCTTTTTCATGACGGGGCCTTCTATTGTTCACTACACCGCATTGACACATGTCGATAGCCTTGCAATCAATTAGCTTCTGAAATTCCCACAGGGTTCTTGTTGTATACTCACAATCAACGACGCTTTCATTGACTCTTTGTACTTGCCCGCGCTGTGCAACTCTGAGGACTCATTTATTTTCTTCTCCATCTTGTCCTCAGCCTCTGCGGTCGAGGAGTTACGGGTTTTAGTTTTTGACACGAGACTCCTCAGAGTGTGTGTTTGACAAATCTTATCACACTCGTTCCCTATGCAAGCTGATAACTTCTAAATTTAATGGACAGCTGTCGAGAAATAATGTTTAAGGATAACAAGAATGCGGAATGGTAAGACACCCAAGGGCCAAGGCAATGGAAATCGACACAACTCGCTGGTGATGAGCGGTTTCGATCACAAACCAGTAAACTGATACATGTTCGTAGTCGATTGTTCTTGAACTACAATTGCAGAGTTGCTCTTTGCTTGTTCGTAAAGCAGCAACGCGTATCGAGGCGCGTCAGGCTCGATGGTGGGAAAGCTTGTTGAGTGGGAAAGGTCCGTTATCGATAACCGCAGGGGAGTCTTGGCGTATATATATATATAATACTTTGAACAGCTGCCAAACATAACCTCCGTAATCCAATCTCAGAGCTTTAGCTATTAATCAACGACACTCCGTACACATACAACTTCAACCCCCCGCCGACCATCCGTTTCAGTACAGATCCGTAACTCTAACCGAGTTGCAGCAGGAGGATACTTGATTCGCATAAAGTGAAATGATCTTCATCTATGTTCTCATGACTATTTTGTCTTCTCACAAGATCCATGTGTCTTTGGCATCTCGTATTGCCACTGACTTAAGGGACCGATGTAAACTAGGTAGCCGTCTGGTAATACAACGTCACTGTTCATCGGCTTGGAGAATGGACCTCAGAGCCTCAAACCCGGAGCATTCATATTTGCCCATGTCCAATTCCATGACCCCATAGCTAGGTACATACTAAAGCGCCCAACCTGTCCCGTGAAACCTTACTGCAGCTGCTGAGTGTTTGAGAAAGTTGCAACTTACTTGAATGACCCACCATGGTTACCAGCTTTTACCAAACAGGTCGACTGCAACCCTAGGGCGCATCACGCATAGGTCTCCCTTTATCTTTTTCTCTTTGATAGCCTTTTCTCACCAAACCAAATTGGCTCCATGTAATAAGAGACGGGGCAACGTAAGGCTGGTCTTTAAAAACGTAAGCCAAAGTCACAACACCAGGTTCCGTGTTGCTCTGCAACTTTGACCCGCAGGACCGGACTGTCCTGCTGTGCTGCTTAGCCTTTTCACAGCTAGACTGGGTTGGACCGTACAAGCTTCTGATGCAGCGGATAGTACGCGAGAAGCAACGAGACTTTGGGTGACGGGTACGATTATTCTTAGGACGAAGGTGGGTTCGCTGTGCCGTGGTATTGGCGCCGCCAACTTCTTAGCGCTGAGATGGTCGGCGTCCACTCTCAATATGGTTCCGAATGAGCGTCGCTATTGTAATGTTGTCTGTTTTATTTGTTTCTTCAGCCGCCTCGCTTCCAGTACTCGACCGAATATCTGAAGCTAGACGACAGCTTGCTAGCAAGGTAGGCTATTCCTCCGCTCCCCCTTCTCGAAGTCCTGCAAGAGCAGCAAGGGTTCAGCTCGTCCGGGCTTCAGTTGTATCCTATTTTAATTTCCATGACACCTATTCACAGCTCCCTCCTGGTCACTCTTCGTGACGTGTTACTTGTTCGACATAGGTAGACAGGAAAACTTGGACATTCCGAAGGCTGAACATTTCTGGTACTCATATTCTTCGCTAGGTCCGCCAGAGCTCCCTCTCGCCAGTTCAATCTATTATCGTCATGCCCAGTGCAGACGCTTTAGCGTCGAACTGCAATCTTGTCTTCGCAGTTCAGTTGTCTAGCAACAGATAGCACGGCGGCTGCCACGGCTAGCTGAACGCGCGCCTATTTTTATCGCGTTTAGCTCGGTCTATCTCTTGTTACTCATGAATGCTACACCAGGCACGGGCTGCCAATGATTGGACGTTTCAGGCGCTCGAGGTCACAATTGATGCTGGGCTAGCTGTGGTGCTCGCAGGGTTAACTGGGCCACTGGATAGCGGGGCAACAACATGTTTCGCTGGCACAACACTGGTAAGAAATGACTTCTCTGAGGTGTGTACTAATTTTTTACTGTTTATGATCTCCGGCTCCAGCAAGCATTCTTATCTCCGATTATAGCAGTCGTTCCCGTAGGCAATCATTGAGGATAGTGAGGACCTTAGAGTCGCTGGCCCAACCGCTGGGTGCCATCGATACGGCGGAGCATAACCCCACTACTTACCCTCGCTTGTGTCATCGCGGTGACCCGAATTGACTTTCCCCCCCCCCAACAACGTACATTAAACAGCTCTTGCACCTTGCACCACATCCCAACATGCCAGGAAACCAAGTTGCTTTTTTCTTAATTGTCATCCCATAGTAGTTTTCCGAAAAGTGACTGCTCACCGACCCAGTCATGCAAGTGGCCTGACTCCTAAGGTGGCAGTGCTCTCACTCGTGATTTTCCTCATCTGGTAACATTTTTCAACACTCGTTGTGGCTGCGCTCCCATCTCAGAGACGGTTGCAAAGACAGTCGCGTTTTCTGGTATTACGGTGGTAGAATAACGCAAACGATGACAGATTGAGTCTGCCATCGCAACGGCATATTTGGTCGATATGTTCCGTGTGCAGCCTTGTTTTGTTCAGTCCTTGTCGGAGATATTTAAAGGGTCAGGTAGGTTCGAGATATCGGGGAGATTTGGAAGGCCGGTGAGATTAGAGGTGTCGGAGAGCAGGTGGAGCTTGAAACCGTCTCCATAATTAAGGTTGTACAGAATGGAGCAAAATCGTGACCAACATGTCTGCAAGTAAAGAAGCATTGCTATTGTCTACCTAGCCATGTTCGTTATCCATCAGTCCTGCCGGCGTAAGATGGTAGCTGCTTCCAGAGCTACTACTAACAAACCAAAAGTCGAGAGATATTCAACGTCGAACCCCCCTCCCGGCCTCCAGTCTAAAATCAGTAAAACAGACAGCAAAACACAAGAGGGAAGCCACAAAAAGCAGAAGGGAAAGATGAGAGATGCCACTGAGGCCACTATGTATAAGAGAAAACATGAAGATGAAACTAGAATCCACCCGTCATTGATCCCATCATCCGCTCTTTCAAACGCCAGTGCTGTATACCCATCATGCATAACCCGTCCCGACCAGTGATGTGTGAGGTATCAAAGGAAAGAAACAGAACAACAACTCAAAAAAGAAACTGGAAGTACAAATAGGCAAACAGTCATCTCCAAAGAAATTCCCCCAATCCACCATTACTCAATCCGAGCTTCCCTACCATCGCCGATCATGCTAAAGAAACGGTCGTGTATCGTCGTTGCTCGTCGTGCTGCGTCATGCCATGTCCCAATATGCTTCGTGTACGTTGAAAAGGAAGGAGACGTATCAGAACAAGCTGTATGCCAATCAACACCAAACTGAAGAAAACCCTTCCATTACCATCCCAAATAACCTTCCCCCCCCCCCTCATTCACAGCTTCCCTTAACTCGATCCCATCCCCCAACCGCTCCTCATTCTCTCAATGTCTTGAACGCATAAACGAAGATGAAGACAGCCCCTTGTAGTAGGAGGAAGATGATGACTTGCAAGACCTCGAAGATGATGGCCTCAAGGAGCTGTAGCCCGTGTCAGAGTAGTTGGATGGCGTAGCATAGCTGTAGCCAAGCGAGGAGTGGTTCCGGCACGAATGGCCGACTTCTATTGTTCTGGTTTCGACGAGGTGACCAGAACGACCATAGAGGGGGCAACGATCAACAGCGTGGGTGTAGTAGAGGCAGCGGCAGACTGAGTAAACCTCAACCAGTTGGTAACACATCGTGTAGTGAGGTTCAATTGGAGCTCAGGTCACTGATCAGAATTGGAATGTTGATGGAGATGATTCTTGTGTCTTGGCGTAGTTGCTCGATGGGTAACAGATCTTGTGATATCTAACTGTTGGATGCTTCACAGGAGGAATTGGATTCTGGTGACGAGATGATGGACTATATGTATAAATAAACGACGAACGAGGTCTGAGGAGCAAGAGAAACGTGTCAAGGGAACGAAGGGATGGTGATATA